GGAGGGACTCAGGGCTGGGATTTTCTCTCCGTTTCACCAATGAAGAAACAGACACACTTTGGACCCTATACCCCAGGAGCTCTAAAATAGGAGTGGTTATTTGGGATGAGGGAAGAGGGCATGGGTCAGCTCTCTCCTTCCCTGCAGGAACTGGGGCCCTCCATCAACTCTGTAAACCTTCACTGGATGCTTTTCCTCCAGAAATGACTACAGAAATGGAATTGTATTCTATGGAGGACAAGGAGGGGAGCAGGAGGGAGAAAGGCAGCTAAGTGGTGCCAGTGTGCATAGATAGCATCTTGGGTTCAAATCTGCCCACATACACTTACTAGCTGTGTGACCCTGGGCAAGTCACTTCACCCTCAGTTTCCTCATCTGTAAAATGAGCTGGAGAAGGAAATGGCAAACCACTCCAGTATCTTTGCCAAGAAAACCCCAAATGGGGTCACGAAGAGTCAGATACAACTGAAAAATGACTCAACAACAACGCATCTAATAAATGCTTGTTGACTGACTGACTTCCCGTCTAAATACTATGAGACTTATTGGCCATCTGACCATGTTCAAGTCATTTCCTAAAGCACAGGTCTGGCCACGTCATCCCCCTACTCAATAAACTTCCATGGTTCCTTCATACCTTCAGGATCATTTCTAAAACCCTGGTTTGCATTGAAAGCCCTTCCTAACCTCCCCTTCTCCCCATCTCTTTAGTCTTCTTATACCTCACGCCCTCCCTTACTTTCCAGTTCAGTGACACCGGCCTCCTGGCTGTTCCACAAACAAGACCCTCCATCTCCAGACTCCAGGCATTCTCCCTGGCTTCCTCCCATGCCTGGAATGCTCTCCCTCCCATCTCTGCCTCCCAGCTCCTACAGGCAGCCCTTCCCCAATCTGTCCTGATTCTAGCCTTCTTTCTGCTATTTCCAGTTCCTCCTGTCTGTAGCACATTTGCACCTACTTGTTTGCATGCGTCCCCCATTAGATTGTGAGCTCCTTGGGGGCAGGGAACAGCTTTTGCCTTTCTCTGTCTCCTGATCCATAGTAGGCATTTAATAAATGTTTATGGACTGACCAAGTGACAATTCAATAAACTCCAATGGCTTCTTATGGTCTCCAGGATCAAATATAAGCTACTCTTTTTAGCTTTTAAAGCCCTTCACAACCTGTCCCTAGACTGCCTTTCCATCTCAGTTATACAGGGTTTTAAACGATTAAGGAATAAAACTGTATTAAGACATTGGGGATACCCTTTACATTAATCCTCTGCCTGCACCCTATTTATGGCCAAATTGGTCTCTTTATTATTATTATTATTATTATTATCAATCATACAAAACCCTCCGCCTTCCCATCTCTGGGCTTTTCAGCTGACTGTGTCCCATGCCCAGAACCTTTAACCTCTGCCTCTTAAGAACTCTGCTCAAATGGTCCCTTCTGTATGAAGCTATTAGGGTCTTTCCTTCTCCCTGAATTTGTTTTGTATTTATTTTGCATATAACTTGTTTATGTACATGAGGTCTCTTCCAATAGGATAGAAGCTCCCCTGGCATACAGGAAGCATTTAATAAATGCCTTTTTGGGGAGACAATCAGGGTTAAGTGACTTGCCCAAGGTCACACAGCTTGTAAGTGTCTGAGGCCAGATTTGAACTCCAGTCCTCCTGACTCCAGGGCTGGTGCTCTATCTACTACGCCACCTAGCTGCCCCTAAATGTTTATTGATTGACTGATTGATCTAACTTTATGGTCACTGCCCCTGCAGTTTCCTCATCTGTAAAAAGGGAATAATAATGATACTTGTCCTGCACACCCCACAGGTTTGTTGTGAAGAACTCCAGAAGTGATTATTGTGAACAGAGCCACAACTAGGGTGGGGCATCTGGGATTATGTTTTAGAACATGAACATTCACTGTCTTTTATCAGTATACCTGCTTAGCAAAAATAATGAGTTAAGTAGGAAGCTACTTTACCTTCCTTCCTCCCTACCCACAAGTTCAGATCCCCACCTTTCCACTGTCATGGGGGCTTGTTTTATGTTAGAGGCAGCTAACATGGCCAATGGGGGAATTTGTTATGATAGACTATACATCTTTGTAATGGGTAAAAAAAATAAATAATTACGTTTTATTTTCAGGTTGATATTCTCTCCCTTCCACCTCCCCTCTCTCACTGAAAAAGCAAGAGGGAAAAAATAAACTCTCATTATAAACATGTATAGTCAAGCAAAACAAATTCCCACGTTGACCATGTCCAAAAAATATATACATCAGTCTGCACTGAGTCCTGCACTCTCTGTCTGAAGGTGGGCAGAATGTTTTATCATGTTCAGTTGTTCAGTCATTTTTCAGCTGTGTCCAGCTCTTTGTGACCCCATTTGGTGTTTTCCTTTCAAAGATACTGGAGCGATTTGCCATTTCCTTCTCCAACTTATTTTACAGATAAGGGAACTGAGGCAAACAGGGTGAAGGGTCACACATCTAGTTAGTGTCTGAGGTCAGATTTGAACTCAGGAAAATGAGTCTTCCTGACTCCAGGCTCAGGACTCTAGGCACTATGGCGCCACCTAGCTGCACTGTTTATCACGGGTCCTCTGGAATTGTGGTTGGTCATTTGTGCTGATGAGAGTTCCTAAGTCTTTCAAAGTTGTTTGTCTTCAAAATACTGTTGCTATTTTATAAATTGTTCTCCTTGTTCTGCTCACTTCACTTTGCATCAGTTCGTACAAGTCTTCCCAGGTTTCTCTGAAACCATTCCCTTTATTACAAAAGTATTCCATCACATTCATATGTCTTTAACTTTTTAAACCATTATTCAATGATGTATACTCTTAATTTCCAGTTCTTTGTCACCATGAAAACATGCTATAAATATTTTGTACACGTATTTTTTCCCTCTTTCTTTGATCTTTTGTGGATGTAGACATAATAGCAGTATCACCGGGTCAAAGGGTGTCTACAATTTAATTGTTTTGGGAGCATAATTCCAAATTTCCAGAATGGTTGGATCAGTTCACAACTCCATCAACAATGCATCAGTTTACCTGCTTTCCCACAGCTCTTCCAGCATTTGCTATTGAACAAAAGTTCAACTTTGCCAATCTGATGGGTAAGTGGTGGTACCTTAGAGTTGTTTTAATTTGCATTTCTCTAATTACTAATTTATAGCATTCTGAAAATATAATTTTTGGTCATTTGGATTTCTTCCCCTGAAAACTGCCAATTTGTATTTTTTGACAAAAAAACAAAAAGCCTAGACATCCTACTTCAAGAAGTCTTAAAAGAAAACTACCTATATATCTTAAAACCAGAGGGCACCGGAAAGAGAATCCTCTGGTCTTCTCTTGATGTAAATTACAAAGTGAAAACTCCCAGGAACATCACAGCCAAACTCTAGAGCTTCCAGGTCAAAGAAGAAATACTGCAAGTAAGGAACAGCTAGGTGGTGCAGTGGATAGAGCACCGGCCCTGAAGTCTGGAGGACCTGAGTTCAAATCTGGCCTCAGACCAAACACTTGACACTTGCTAGCTGTGTGACCCTGGGCAAGTCACTTAACCCCAATTGCCCAAATAAATAAGTAAAAGAAAAAAGAAATACTGCAAGTAGCCAGAAAGAAAGAATTCATGGTCAGGATCACACATGATTTTCCTCCCTCTTCTTTCATCAGGAAGTCTTCTATTTCATTAAAGATCCATCTTTTCCCCCTGCAGGATTATACTCAGTTCTTCTGGATAAGTTGTTCTTGGCCGTAAGCCTAGATCCCTTGCCTTCTAGAATACTGTATTCCAGGCTCTCTGCTTCTTCATAATAATAGTACTTAAGGTTTGAAAAGTACCTTATATGTGCTCTCTCATCTGACCCTCACAACAACCCTGGGAAGTATAGGCTATTATTATCCCCATTTTACAGTTGAGAAAACTGAGGGAGAGAGAAGTTAAGTGACTGGTCCAGGGTCACACATCTACTGTCTGTGGCAGGATTCGAACTCAAGTCTTCCTGACTTCAAGTCCAATACTCTTTATCAATTGTGCCTTCTTTTTCTCTTCCCCCTTTCACCAAGGAGGAAAAATACTTGTCAAAAGACAAATAACTTTAAGAAAGCACCACCAGAGAGGTGCAGCTACTTTAGATACCACATCTCAGGCTCATTTCTAAAAGCATCACTGGCATAGAGAATTCAAAATCCAATGACGTTTGTTGGGAGAATGAAGTGGTTGACTAGCACAGAAGAAGGACCCGTCGGTGGAGTCACGGGAAGAAGTGTCAGAGAAATTCTCTCAACTCAGAAATAAGTTTATTAGAAAGCTTACAGACAGATGAACCCTGAGTAACCAGCCAAGGAACAATTTAAAAAAAGAAGACAAAAACAAACCCCAAACTCTCTCCCTCCCCTTCTGTAAGCCCAACATATACTCAGAATTATGTTTGGCTCTAGGGAGTTCTGTCCAGTGGTGAATCTCAAGTCATTCAAAAAGTGCTTTCATGACCCTGGCACCTGGTCTGGCAGGTGGTGGGGCGGGGTGGGTGGAGGGCTTGAGCCTGCATTTTAATTGTTCAGCTGGGAAAAAGCCAGCCATAAGCTGGGCTGCTTCTGGCTCCACTGGCCACAGAAACAGCTCAGTAACCTTTCTTGAAGCTGGGCCCAAGAGGATCCTGGGGAAAGAATCCTTTTATTGCAAGGCCGAGGGCACTGACGTGAACACGGCCAGCTGGAAGGCCTTCGCCTCTGGAGTGGAGAGGGAGTCCGGAGAGGGTGTCCAGGGAGCAGGACCCTCAAATCTCAGAAGCACCAAAGACAGACATCCACGCCCCAGCCTAGTCTGACGAGTACAAGGCCCAGAAACAGAGCCTGAGCTCTTCCCCAGAGATGGAGGGTCCCTTCCCTTCTGGCTTCGTGGCCCTCCTTCAGTGAATAGTTAATATTCCTCCTTCCGACAAACAGATCCTGGCAAAAAGAATTGATCGCCACCCCCCCCCCCCCCCCCCCCCCCCCCCCCCCCCCGTCTTTCTTTTGTAAAAAAGGAGTTTGTGCAGTGATTGATCCCAGTCAGGAAAGTCCCGGCCAAGAATGGTCCGTGCTTTGGGAGCAGAAAGGCACTTGCAGTCCTCCCTCCCCCATCCTCCAGGGGAGCCCATCCCATCTGTGCCAGCTGCTTGCCGGGAGCTCCCACCTGGCTGGCTCCCAGGTGTCTGCCCAGGCAGATTAAGTGCAGAGTGGATGGCGACAGCACGGCCCACGGCCTGCGACGTGCTCTCCCACACTTCACAGAGTGGTGGAAGGCAGCTTCTTCACACGGCGCTGGGCCAGGATGGAAGTCTCAATAGGCTTGAGCTGCGGGGTGGGCTTGGAACTGCTCAGTGCGGAGTAGGTGGCGGCCATGGCGCCCTGTGCGGGGAAGGAGCAGGAGACAAGATTAACCCAGATTAAAGCAATTATCAAGTGCCTAGGATGTGTCGGGCACTGGGGATACAAGGACAGCGAGGAAACCGGGCCTGCCCTCGAGGAGCTCCCATTCTATCAAGGGGTGGCTCTAATTCCTCAAGACGATGGCTTCTCAGCTGAGTCTATAGATGAGCCCAGGGCTCCAAGCAGTCCTGCTTCCTCTGGGGCCCCCGGCCTGGAGAAGGCACAAGAAGGGCCTCCGACTGGCCAGGCCAGCGATAGTGCCTGGGGCCCAGCTGTCCCCAGGGGATCAAGGAGCCTTGTGCTGGGGAGTCACCTGAGGCACTATAGGAAGACATGCCCATGCCCAAAGACACGTGGGCAGGGTCAGAGACTGGATTTGAACTCAGGGCTTCCTGACCTTGACTAGCCTTAACTACACTACACTGCCCTGCTGAGTAGAGGTGACTCTCACTGGCCCCCTCTTCTGCCCTAATCGGCGCTGCCTTCTTGTGCCTGGGCCATAGAGCTGGGCTGTCATAAGCACACGCCCACACCCACACCCTCGGGAGGAGTCGCCAAGGCCCTGGGTTCAGATGCTGGCTAGGCCACTTACAGTGAGCTCCTTCTTCCTCCCCTATAAAATGAAGGAACTGGACCGAGCAGCCTCAGAGATCCGACGTGCTCTGACCACGTTTTCTGGCTATAATTCACACAGCACTTCAGAGGCCGCTAGGTGGCACCACAGTGCATAGAGTGCTGGGCCTGGAGTCAGGAAGACCCGAGTTCAAATCTGCCCTCGGGGCCGTTTGTCTCAGTTTTCTCAACTGTAAAGAGGGGACAATGGCAGCACCTACCTCCCAGGGTTGCTGTGGGGATCAAATAAAATAATGTTTGTAAAGTGCTTAGCACAGCAATTGGCATGTAGTAGGCGCTTAATAAATCCCTCCTTTTCTGTCAGGGACCACACGTCCCCTTTGTTGGGAAGCTCTCAAAAGTGAAGGTGGTAATCTTCCATTTCTACTGCATGCTACCCAGGGCCTGGTGTAGAGCTATGCAAGGCCTGGGGATCAAGCCCTGCCTCTGACTCTGACAGGCTGCGTGACCCTGGGGAAGTCACTTACACTCTCAGTGCCCTAGGCAGCTCTTTCAGAGGAAGCTGCAGCTGATTTCACACGTAAAACTGAGAGCATATTGCTTCCTTCTCAAAGGAAGGGACAGAGAGAATTTGGAACTCAGAATTTTAAAAAATGAATGTTAAGAATTTTTTACATGTAATTGGGAAATAGTTAACAAAGTAAATAAAAATATGTGTTTTAAGAAAGACTTAAGGGGGCAGCTAGGTGGCGCAGTGGATAGAGCACAGGCCCTGAAGTCAGGAGGACCTGAGTTCAAATCTGACCTCAGACCAAACACTTGACACCTACTAGCTGTGTGACCGTGGGCAAGTCACTTAACCCCAATTGCCTAAAAAATAAACAAATAATTAAAAAAAAGACTTAAGTTGGAGAGGAAATGTCAAACCATATTGGCTGAGGGATTTTCCCTGGGAGGACAGAGAGCTGGCCTGGTTGGTGGAAGGCAGCTCCCCATGTTGATAAGCGTGTGTGAGAATACAGCGCTGCTTGCTCCCACACAGGCCAGGGGTACTGTGGAGAACCAGGATTGAATGGAAAAGTGGGCAGTAGCAGAAGCTGATTTCTCTGCAGCAGTGAAATCACAGGCCCAGCTCCAACACTTGCCCACAACACCCAGGTCTTGGACAGAGCAGGGACCAGGGATGATGTGGGTTCTGCCCCTGCTCCCAGGCTCTCTGGTGTCCAAGGTCAGGGGAGGAGTGTATGGATGCAGGAGCATCTTGGAGGGCCGCCTCACCTTTACTAGCGTCACGTCCTGATGGGACAGCCGGCTCCGAGGGAGCTTGTCCTTGTGCATGACCCACGGGTGCTGGAGAACCTGGTTGGCGGTCAGGCGCCGGTGGGGGTCCACGTGGAGCATCTTGGACACCAGATCCTGGAGGGGCCAGAAGGAGAAAGAGCCGGTGTGAGCAGGGAAAGCCCAGTGCCCACACCCAAGACCAGCTCTCCCAAGGGAGTCAGGGTCAGGGACCAAGCACTCCAGGGGGAATGACTTGGAAACTGCCCCCATTCGCAGGGCGGCTGCTACCACACAGCCACGATTTCAGCAGGGCAGCCCCGGAAGGAAGAGGGGGGGCACAAATAGGATGTCTGGCTTGTCACCGCAATGGGAGAAGTAAGGCAGGGGAAGGCTTGCTTTTCTCTTCCTAAAAAGACCCTGCTGCTAGTGCCTTCCCCCTGAGACCACCTTCCATCTACTTGGAATATATTTTGTTTGAACCTAATGACTTACGTGTTGTTTCCACCATTAGAATGGGGACTCGAAGTGAAAGGACCTGTTTCGCCTTTCTGTGTATCTCCAGGGATTGGCACTATGCCTGGTCCCGAGGAAAGTTTAATACAGGCTTTCCAGCTGCCGCCGGATGGACCAGCACCGGGCCTCCCCGAGGCCATAGCCAACGCTGCTTTGGGCCCCACGGCCTCACCTTGGCTGTTTCTGAAATCATGTTCCAGTTTCCACCACTGAGAGTGAATTTTCCTCCCCCAATCCGAGTCAGGATCTCCTCTGGGGTATCACTAGGACCATTGGCAAAGGGAGTGTATCTGGAGGGAAAAAAAGTCAGTATACTTCTCATCATTCTGTCTCTTGTTTGTAAGACGGAAAGTCCTGAGACCCGCTGGGTCTGGGTAGAAAAGGACCTCACACACCATGGGCCAGACCTGCTGATGGACTTGATTCCAAGAGGCCCAGGCAGACCGGAGGGGTGGCTCAAGGGGAGAGAGGAAGGAAGGGTGGGGCAGAGCACAAAGATGTCCAGAGAAGGGGAGGGGAAGAGCTAAGGCCTGAAATCCCAGAGACAAGAACTCTGGGCACCAGCTAGGTACTGATGGGGGCAGCAGATATGCTCCCTTTGGGAGGCAAGCAATAAGATATCGATGATACACATGAAGTCATCTGCAGCTTAGTCTGAAAGAAATGCCCATGGCACCAAGTGTAAGTGACTTCTCCAGGGTCATACGGCCATCTGTGTCAGAGGCAGGGGCACAGGGGGAGCTGTCTTGAGAATAATCTCAGGAGAGGGAGGAAGGGGGCAGGATTTTGAGGATGGAAGGACTTCCAACTACCTTCTAATCATTGTGTATATACTGTGTCCCAGTGTGTGTGTACACACACACACACACACACAGTGTCCCAAAAGCCTCAGTGTAATTTTAAGATATTAAAGCTTAATGTGTACGTGTAATATTAATATGTATGGTCTAAGCTATTAAAGATTAATATTTAAACTTTTAAAACTTAAAACTACATTATGACTTTTGGGACATTGTATATGTGTGTGTGTATGTGTGTGTTGTTGTTGTTGTTGTCTTATGTTAGCATGTAAACTCCTTAGAGGGCAGGTTCTGTTCCACCTTTGCCTGCGCACAGCAGGAGCTTCATAAATGGTTAATTGATTAAGACTTGGGCTCCCAAAGAACAGACATAGATGGATTTTTCCTTGAATTGATATGAAGCATTTACCTAAAATCATCCACAAGCATTATGTGTAATGGAGATAAGCTAGAAGCCTTCCCAGTAAGATTAGGGGTGAAACAAGGATGCCCACAGTCACCAATATTATTCAATATTGTACTGGAAATCCTAGCAATAGCAATAAGAGAAGAAAAAGAATTAGAAGGAATCAGAATAGGCAACAAGGTTATAAAACTATCTCTTTTTGCAGATGATATGATTATATTTTTGGAAAATCCTAAAGATTCAACTAAAAAGTTAGTTGAAACAATAATTTTAGCAAAGTAGATCATCAGCATTCCTATATATCACCAACAAAACCCTGTAAGAAGAGATACCCCTATTTAAAATAACACTTGTCTAGACAGTATAAAATACCTGGGAGTATACCTGCCAAAACAAACCCAGGAAGTATATGAACAAAATTATACAAATAAAATCAGATCTAAATAATTGGAGAAATATGAATTGTTCAAGAGTAGGCAGGGCCAATATAATAAAAATGATAATCTTAACTAAATTAACATATTTATTCAATGCCATCCCAATTAAATTGCCAAAAATTATTTTACTGAGTTAGAAAAAAATAATAAAATTCATTTATTAGAACAAAATGTCAAGAACATCAAAGGAACTAATAAAAAATGTAAAGGAAAGAGGTTTAGCAGTACCAGACCTTAAACTATATTATGAGACACTAATTATCAAAACTATCTGGTATTGGCTAAGAAATAGAAAGGTAGATTAGTGGAACAGAGCAGACATACAATATATAGCAGTAAATGAGTATTAGTAACCTTGTGTTTGACAAGTGTAAAGACTTAAGTTTTGGGGATAAGAATTCATTACTTGGTAAAAATTGTTGGGAAAGCAGGAAAGCAGCCTGGCAGAAAGTGGGCATAGACCAATATTTTACAACATTTACCAAGATAAGGTCAAAATGGACACATGACTTAGATATAAAAGGAGATATCACAAGAAAATTAGAAAAACATGGAACATATTTACCTATCAGACTTATGGACAGGTGAACAATTTGTGAATAAACAAGAGATAGAGAACATTATGAGGGATAAAATGGATAATTTTGATTACATTAAATTAAGAAGTTTTTGTCTAAAACCAATGTAGCCAAGATCAAAAGGAAAGCAGAAAATTGGGGGAGGGGGAAATTTTGTAGACAATTTCTCAGCTAAAGTTCTCGTATCTCAAATATATAAAAAAACTTTGTGAAATCTATAAAAATATGATTCATTGCCCAACTGATAAATGGTCAGAGGATATGAACAGTTTTCCAATGAAGAAATTAAAACAATTTATACTCAGATGAAAAAAATGCTCTAAATCACTGATTACAGAAATGCAAAGTAAAACAGCTTTGAGGTGTCACTTTATACCTCTCAGACTGGCTAAAATGATAGCAGGGGGAAACAGCAAATGTTGGAGGGAATATGGATAAATTGGGACATTAATTCACCACTGGTGGAACTATGAACTGATCCAACCATTTTGAAGAGCAATCTGGAACTATGCCCAAAGAGTTATTAAACTGTGTATACCCTTTGATCTAGCAATACCTCTATTAGGTCTGTTTCCCAAGATGATTAGGGGAAAAAGGTAAAGAACCTATATGTTCTAAAATATTTATAGCAGCTCTCTTTGTGGTGGCAAAGAACTGGAAATTGAAGGGATGCCCATCAATTGGGGAACGGCTGAATAAGCCGTGGTATATGATTGTGATGGAATGCTACTGTGCTATAAGAAATGATGAGCAGGTTGATTTTAGAAAAACATGGAAAGACGTGCATGAAATAATGAGCGAAATGAGCAGAACCAAGAGAATGCTGGATATAGTAATAGCAATATTATTTTAAGAACAACTTTGAGCGACTAAGTCATTTTGAGTGTTGTAAATACCGAAATTAATTACAAAGGACCCAGGCAGGAAGATGCTATCTGCCTCCAGAAAGAGAACTGATAAATAGATGCATAGTATGGTTTTTCATATATATAGAGACATATATGTGTCTAATGGTAGCCATCTCTAGGGTAGGGGATGGAGGGAGGGAGGGAGGGGAAAAATATAAAAAGTGCACAGCAGAGAACAAAAGAAAATGTAGAAGGAAGCATGGAAAGCAGAGTAGCTTTGAAAATGAGAAGCAATACTTATACAGTTTTAAAAAAAGTAAATAGTGTGAAATGTAAATTCATGGTTTTATAGTGAATCCTCTTTTTGGGCGATGCTGTGTAAATGGAAATGTTCTTTTTTTGTCTTTATATATTTGTGAGAAATGATTATTAATAACCAATATCTTGGGGAGATTCAGCTGTCCCCTTCTTCCAAATTACTGATTTTAAAAAGTTCAATCTCTTGAAGGATATTAATGATAACGAGATTGAATTGACTCTCCTGGTCTTGGTTAGACCCCACCCAACTTTACAAGGAATTTAATCTAAGATGGGGAAGCCCATTGTGTTCCAGGAGACAGATCCTTTGATCTAGATAGCCCAAGGCTGTGGGTGGTTTGAGTATAGACAGAATTACTCTGTCCAAGGTTGACTGATGTCACCCTCAGCCCCTTACGGAACATCTACTATATAAACTGCCCCGCCTCTATGACGGTCTTTGGTCTAAGAAAGACGGCCTAATGACTGTCCTTTTATTAATAACTTGTTGGCCTTATCAGAAACTATGTCTCTCGAACCTTTTTAATCATCACATAGTGGCAAAGAATTGGAAATTGAGGGGATGCCCATCAGTTGGGGAATGGTTAAACAAGCTGTGGTATATGAATATAATGGAATACTATTGGGCTATAAGAAATGATGAACAGGCTGACTTCAGAAAAACCTGGAAAGACTTGTATGAACTGATGCAGAGGAGTGAAGTGAGCAGAAGCAGGAGAACATTGTACACAGTAGCAGCCACATTTTGTGATGACTGACTTTGATAGACTTGGCTTTTCACAGCAATGCAAGGATCTAAGACATCTCCAAAAGTCTCATGATGGAAAATGCTATCCACATCTAGACAAAGAACTATGGAGTCTGAATACAGATGGAAGCATACTATTTGCTCTCCTTGTTATTGTTTTGTTTTGTTTTGTTTCTTCTTTCTTGTGTTTCCTCCCATTAGTTCTAATTCGTCTTTAAATCATGACTAATGTGAAAAATATGCTTAATATGAATATATAAGTAGAGCCTATATAGAATTGCATGCCGTCTTAGGGAAGGGGGAAGAGAGGAAGAGGGAGAAAATTTAAAACTCAAAATCTTATGGAAGTAAATGTTGAAAACTAAAAATAAATTAATTATTTAAAAAAAATCATGACATATTTAAGTTCAAGATGAATTTTTAAAAATTTTTGAAAAAAAAAAAAAAAGACAGGCTCCTACAGTCATAACAAGAGACTGAGCTGAAGCAGTAAATTTTCCCCAAGGGTGGAGGAGACAAGAGCATGTCCATAGCAAGAGAACTGAGTGAATGTGAAGGGCAGGCCCAGGTTGATGATTAGGCCAGAGGAAGCCTGGAACAATGGGCTGAAGGCCAGGATTAAGTTAAAAAGAACTTTGCAACTGGTGAAGGCCAGAGACTTTTAGAGCTGAAGGAGATCTTTGGAGACATCTGGTCCAACCCCCTCATTTTATAGATGAGGAAACTGAGGCTGAGAATTGGGAGGCAGCTTGCCCAAGGGCTAAGTGCCAGAGCTGAGAGCTGCCACTGGTTCCCCTGACGCCAAATCCAGGGCTCCTCACTCCTGTCTTGCCCGGACCATTTCAGCAGTCCAACAAATTGTCCTGTCTCCATTCTCTGCCCCCTCCAACCCATCCTATGTGTTGGGGCCACATAGGTTTTCTTATTCTCGCCATCTTCGTAAAGATAACAGCAATAGCGATAGCTAACATTTCAACATATATTTATACACATTATTTATGTATGTGTGTATATATACACATATACATGTATACATACACACACATATATTTATGTGTGTATATGTACACATATATATGTCTGTTCATATGTATGGCAGCTAGGTGGCTCAGTGGATAAAACACTTGAGCACGGAGTCAGGAAGACCTCAGTTCAAATCTGGCCTCAGACACATACTACTTGTATGACCCTGGACAAGTCACTTAATCCTGTTTGCCTTAATCCATGGGAGACGGAAATGCCAAACCACTCCAGTATCTTTGCAAAGAAAACCTCATGGACAGTATGGTCCACAGGGTCACGAAAAGTCAGACACTACCGAACACATACTCACACACACATACACACACACACATATAAACATATATACACACACCTACACAATATATACATACACAATATATATATATATTATATACATATACACTATATATACATACATACAAAATACATATACATATATATACACACATGCATACATATACCCACATACAATATATATAATGCTCTAAGGTTTCTAAAGTGCACTAAGCCTCTCATTTAGAGACTTTTATGTGGGGCTTTTGAGTTCACAAAGAGTTTCTATTCCTACCAAACTCACTGGGCTGTTGCAAGGATTTCTATCCCCATTTTACAGATGAGGAAACTGAGGCCCAGAGAGATAAAGCAACCTGCCCCAAGGTCCCATGAGTTGTAACTGGCAGAGAGGGAACTTCTGGCTCCTGATCCTGGGTGTTGCCCACTCTGCCACCTCTCCAGCCCTTTCCATTACCTCCCTTTCCCTGACAGTAAATAAACACTTGAAAGGCTCATGCGCCATTTTGGGGGAGGGGGAGGGGGAGGGGAAGAGAAGCTAGAAGCTTAGTTCCTCAGGGGTCTTGGGAGGAGGGAATCCAGGAGAGATCCCATCCTCTGAGGGTGGGGCGGGCCACTTACCCAGCCAGCATGGTATAGAGAAGGATACCCAGGCTCCAGATGTCACAGCCTTCATCATACCCCTGGCGCCTCAGGACCTGGGGAGAAGAGTAATATTCACAAATGAATACTGGCATCTACACAGCACTATAAGGTGTACGTAGCAGTTTCTATACATTATTTCATTTGTTTCTCACTACAGCCCTGTGAGGCAGAGAGAGGAGGCCTCTCAGAGCCTGGGATGCATTGCCCCATGCCACCGTGCTTGCCTCCAGCTGACGTGGGGCTCCAGCCTCCTGGTGCCACAGGACAAGTGGCCCAGTGCATGGTGGAGGAGGAAGGATTCCCTCTTCGGGGGATGCCAGGTACAAGCAGGGGCACCAGCCTGCCTTTTCCTGGGTTCAATTCACAGCATCATAGATTTAGAGCCAGAAAGGACCTTAGCATCCATGAAGCCCAACCCCCTCATTCCACAGAGAGGAAACTGGGCCAAGAGGCTAAAGGACTTGCCTGAGGTCACATGGCTAGTCACTGTCTGAGATGTAACTTGAACCCAGGTCATGGGATCAGACTTAGAGCAAGAAGGAACCTTAGAGACCATCCAGTCCAACCCCCTCATTTTACAGAAGGGGAAACTGAGGCTTAGAGAGGAAAAGGGTGTCTTGTCCAAAGTCACAGGATCATAGATCCAGAGCCTCAGAGACCAACCAGTCTAAGCCCCTCATTTTAAAGAAGGGGAAACTGAGTTCAATTCCATGCAGTTTAACAAGCATTTACTAAATGCTGCGCTAGATGCTAGCAATGCAAAGACAAAGTTAACCAGCCCGTTTTCAAGGAGCTTCTGTTCTATTCGGGCAAACACTGACACAGACGACTAAGTCCAGGTGACTCACCAGGTTACCTGACCTGGCTTAATAAAAATATCCACCTGAAAGAGGTAAAGAGCAAACGCAAAATCTCTATAACCCATTTGTTAACCACAGAAGAGTTCCAGACGACACCATGGAAAGGACAGGAAGGACGGAACAGGGACACAGGAGGGACGGGACTGACCTTGGGGCTACACGGGGAAGCTCAGTGGAAGCTCCTCGTCCTTTTAAATTAAGCAGGACACTCAGGAGCAGGTCCTAGGAGGGGGAGGGGCCAGACTGGGCCTCAATCCCAGGACCCAGACCCACCCACCTTGTGGGTAACCCCAGGGCAGAAGGGGAAAGGGAAGGGGATGGGAACTCTGCTCACCTCTGGGGCCACGAAGTTGGCGGTATAGCAGGGGGTCATGAGGAGCCCGTTCTCTGCTCGAAGCTGCTTGGCAAAGCCGAAGTCACAGATTCGGATGCTCTCAGGGTTCCCAGACTCGTCTACATAAAGGATGTTGCTGGGTTTCAGGTCCCTGTGCACTACCTGGGTGTGAAACAAGGACCTTGAGGTCAGCCCCTGGGGAGGTGGGATGGGGAAAAGGCTCAAAGCATCCTGGTGCCAGCAAACCGAGGGGGCTAGCAAGAACCCCCAGGGTCCGAGGATGGGAAAGTACAGATACTGGGAGGGCAGGCGATCAAGCAATCAATAAGCATTCATTAAGCACATCCTGTGTGCCGCACAGGGAGAATACAACATAGGTGAGCTAATGAAGAGGTACAGGAAAGTCCATCCTGGGGTCAGAGGCTAAAGGGAGACCCTTGGGGTCAGCAGTGTCAGGAGTAGAGTGGGAGTGGGGAGGAAAATGCACCTTAGGCACTGGAGGGAGGAAGGGAAGGAAGATAGGATCAGGGTTACTCAACGACAGGCCGGAGGGAGAACAGTACCTGGTAGTTAGAGGTAGAGGGTAGATGGATGTTCCAGGGTCAGCTGCGGGGGAGGAGGGGAGGGACACAGGGAGAAGACCCTGTTGGGTCAGCCAATGCAGGGCAGGCCAAGGGGGCAGCCACTGACAACAGGTGAAGGACAAAGACGCCTGCCTCCCTGGTCTTTTAATTGGAGAGAATGTAAGCCCCCAGAGGGAAGGGACCATTTCCACTTTTCTTTTAGGAGGTAGGTAGGCGGCACAGTGGATACAGTGTAGGACCGAGAGTCAGGAAGGCTTGAGTTCAAATCCAACCACAGACACTTATAAGCTGTGTGACCCTAAATAAGTCATTTAACTTCTGTCTACTTTGGTTTCCCCATCCATAAAATGGGGATAATAATAGGACCTATCCCCCCAGGAAAAATCATGTCATATTTGTACAGTGCTTTGTAAACCTTAAAGCACTATATAAAGGCTAGCTGTTGTTATTATCCCCTGTGACTACCATAGTGCCTGGCATACAGTAGGTGCTCAATAAATGCATGGTGCTTGATCGATTAGTCAATAAACATTTATTAAGGGCCTCCTAGGTACCAGGAATGGTGCTCAGGCCTGGCCATGCTTGCTGCTGATTCCTGGATTGTGGCTCATACAGAGGAGAACCTGTAGGGTGGAGGGTGGGAACAAGGGACAGGAGGCAGCCACTGGGAAGTTTTCTCTAAAAGGGCCATCGAAATGAGTACTACATTAAAAAGAGAATCTAAAGCTAGACCAGGGCTCCATAATCCCTTTGGTCTGGAGGGCCCCATGGGGCCGTGGGCAGGGCCAGAGAGAGGGAAAAGTGAGGGTGCGGCTGAAGCCTCCCATCCCACACTGTCTGTACTGCACAATTTAGCAATTCACCGACCTCTGTTTCATGCACCTGTGGGTTCAGTGAGGACAAGGGCTGTGCCTGACACCTGTGTCTTCTCTTTCTGGAACCTAGCACACCCACTAGGCACTAAGTAAATATTTGTTAAATAACAGAGAAGGAGGAGAAACTAAAGGGCATCGGAGAAATAACCAGAGGGATGGGTCTCCAAAGCTATTAAACTGTGTATAGATACAGATACGGCTGTTGGAGCAAAGAGATCAAAGAAAGAGGAGAAGGGTCCATATGTACAAAAATATTTACAGCAGCTCTTGTTGTGCAAAGAATTGAAATTGGAACGCCCATCAGTAGGAGAATGGCTGAACAAGCTGTGGTGGACTACTGTTGTGCTAGAAGAGATGACGAAGGGGATAGTTTCAGAAACACCTGGAAAGATTGGTATGAACTGGTACAAAGTGAAGTGAGCAGAACCAAGGGAACAATTCATACAGTAACAGCAATATTGCAAAGATAAGCAACTGTGAAAGACTTAGTAACTGATCAACACAATGACCAACCACAATTTCAAAGAACTCAGATTGAAACAGAGTTGACCAAAGGACTCATGATGGAAAATGCTGTCCACATGCAGAAAAAGAACTATGGAGTCTGAGTGCAGATCTTTTCTTTTTTTGTTTGTTTGTTTCTTTTTTCTTGTGGTTTCTCCCATTGGTTCGAATTCTTCTTCACAACATGACTAATGTGAAAATAGGTTCAATATGAATGTATCTGGAGAGCCTATATCAGATTGCACGCTGTCTTGGGGTGGGGGAAGGGGAGAGATGGGGAGAAAATTTGGAACTCAAAATCTTATTGAAGTGAATATTGAAAACTAAAAATAAATAAATAAATTTAATAAAAAAAGAAAAGAAGAAAAGAAATAGAGCTGATAGCTTTAGAGTACAGAATGAAGCATCTTTTCTTCAATTTTTTTCTTTTTCTTATTTTTGTTTTTCGGGGAGGGGATATGGCTAATGTAGAAGTCTTTACATATTTGTAATGGGTTTTATTCTTCCTGCCTTCTCAATGGGTGGAGAAGGGAGGGAGAGAGAGAATTTGAAACTAAAAATAAAATAAAATAAATTTTTTTTTTTAGGCAATTGGGGTTAAGTGACTTGCCCAGGGTCACTCAGCTCAATTTTTTTTTTTTTAAGTAACCTCAGCAGATCTTTTTCCCTGGCCAATCTCTGGTCAACTGGTTTTCCTCAAACAGGTCTGATTACACCACTCCACTACTCAAACATCTTCAATTGCTTTCTATTGTCTCTAGGATAAAATACCGAATTCTTAGCCTGGCATTTAAAGTGCTTCACAATTTGGGTCCCACCCACCTTTTCAGTCTTAGTTTCTGCTACAAGCTAACTATCTGACCTTGGGGAGACTCTGGGTCACAGTATCCATTTATAGGATAGCTCTCTAAGGTCTAAATTCCCACTTCTGAATTCTATGACCCTAAAAACCATGCCTGACTACTGCCAGGATCAAAGGACGCCACCACCAGATTGATTTAGCAACAATAAACCTGCACATCCATAGAGCTGGGAGGGTCTTCCAAGTAACCACCTTGTCATCTCCCTTGAGAAGGGGGGAACATAATAGATGAGTAGGGGAAAGAGAGGCTAATTCTGAGAAGTGTCTGCTCTAATTGAATAGAGACTCATCAGTTCACATCATCTCAGAGCTAGGAGGAACCTTCAAGGTCATTTAGCCTGACCTCTTCTTAATATAGGGATTTCCACATCTGTCATATCTCTAACAAGTGGTTATCTAGTCTTTGCTTGTAGAGGAAGGCAAAAAAGGAAGGAAAGGAAAGAGGAAGAGAAGGAAGGAAGGAAAGAAGGATGGGAGGGAGGGAGGGTACCTGCTCTGTGTCAGGCATTCTGCAAAGCACTTTACAATTATTGTCTCATTTGATCCCTGTAACAACCCTAGGAGATAGGTGCTATTGTTATCCCCATTTCAGTTGAGGAAACTGAGGCAGACAGAAGTTAAGTGATGCTGAGGTTCACATAGCTGGTGAGTGTCTGAGGGTAGATCCAGAGCTCTATCCACTAAACCACCTAGTTGCCTTTAGAGGCAGAGAAGTCACTACCTCCTGAGGCAGCCCATGCTAATTTTGGAGAGTTACAGACATTAAATAATGGGTCCTAATACAAGCCCCAAATCTGCCTCTTTCTGCAAATTCTACCCCACTGCTCCTCTTTCTGCCTTCTGGGGTGACAGTAAGCAAGTTTTCCATCAACAAAACTAACCGCTTAGCCTGGAATTCAGGGCCCCCTCTTGACTATCCAGCCTTATCTGTCATTGCTTTATTGACATAGAACAAATCGTTTCCAACAAGCTAGCCTTTCAAATACTGAAGATCAGCAATGCCTAAGTGTTCTCTGCTTCAGGTTAAACATTCCCAGTACCTTCACCTAATTCTGGCCCTGGTCTCTGCCGATCACTCCATGACCTCTGAGAAGTCGCTTCACTTTATTTTTTTCTCCAGGCCTCAGTTTTCTCTTTTGTAACATGAGGGGCTGGTGGGTGATGGTCATCTAGATCCCTAGAGGTCCTACCCAGCTCTAACTCCTAATATCCGCTGGCTCCGATGTAGGGAGATCTTTCTGGATCTCGATTCTGTCCTCTGATATATTTTCCCCTCTTGCAGGCTGCTTCCAAAAAATCAGTGCTGGACACACCAACACAGCTGGGTTTGACACAACCCCCAGAGGGCTCACTCAGCCTGGTGCTGCCCTTCCTGAAAGCACTGACTCCTCAGCCCCTTCTTATTCTCCGACGTCCACCATCCATGTTGGTCTCTATGATTTGCTTTAAAATTCAGTCCTTGTGTGTCCTCTGCCGGCCACCCTTGGCTTTGGAGGCTCTGAGCAGCCCAGAGCATGAAGGGACTCCAGAGGTCTGAGGTCATGCTGCTTGGTGACTATCTGACCCAACCTTTGAATCCACACTGCCTACTCATGCATTTAAGGCAGACGATCATTCTTCCCCTGGCATCTGGTAGCCTCCAACTGCCCCCTGCATAGAAGGACCAGTCCAGGGGCCTAACACACCACTGAGATCACCTCACACCCCTGCTCAGAAACCCCTGATGGCTCCCCACTGCCTGCAGAGGTTCATGGGAAAGAGAAAAGCGCGCGGCATTTGGAGTCACAAGGACCTAAGATCAAACTCTGCTCCACCACTTACTAGCTGTATCATCTTGGACAAGTCATTTGACTTACAAAGCCTCCGTTTTCTCATCTGTAAAAGGAGGCGGTTGATCTAAATGGCCTCCATGGTCTCTTTAAACCTGTGATCTCTGAATGATGTCTAAGTGATACCTGGGACCCCATTTTGACCATCTGCCCTTAGCTTTGACTACTCTCATAATTATTCAGAGCCTTCCAGTCCAGCCTGGTTAATCTCCCAAGATCACTCCTGCTTCCGGCCTCCGCTTCCTTCCCCATCTTGTTCCTTCCCATTATATTTAAATTCCTCCCAGCCACAGAATCTGCAGCTGGAAAGAGCTTAAGGAAATTCACTCCCCTCAATGATAAAATTGAAACTGAGGCCCAAGAGAAATTAAATGACCGGTCCAAGGTAACACAGGTAGTAAAGGCCTGGGTCAGTCCACACCATTTGTTCCCTTCCTCACTGACTGCCCTTTTCTCTGAACTATCATCCTACTAAGGCAGTTAGGTGGTGCCATAGCGCATAGAGCCTCAGACCCTTACTAGCTGTGTGACCCTGGGCAAGTCACTTCACCCTGTTTGCCTCAGTTTCCTCATCTGTCAAATGAGGTGGAGAAAGAAATGGCAAAACACTCCAGTATCTCTGCCAAGAAAACCCCAATAAGGGCCACGAAGAATCAGACATAACTGGAATGAAACAACAACAAAATCATTTTACTAACATTTATTGAGAGCCTGCTATGAGCAGGGCTAAGTGGCAGTTCCTGGGGATATAAAGAGATGTAAAGCATTGTTGCAACCTTCAATAACTCAAAGGGCTTAGGAAGACAGGACAAAGAGAGCTAACATAGCGGCCCAATAAGGAATATAGACTAGAAGCATTCTAAGAGTTCAAAGGAAAGAGAGATGAGTGTGGGCTGGTGTGATCAAGGGAGGCCTCTGGAAGGACGGCAGGCTTGAGTTGGGCCTTGAAGGAGGGAAGAGGATTTCCATAGGGTAGGGAAGAGAGCATTCCAAGTGGGGGGAATGATGTATACAACAGGTTCATAAGACCCAGTGCTAGAAAGTACCTTGGAAGACACCTAGTACAACCTCATTTTACAGACTAGGAAACTGAGGTCCAGAGAGATTACATCACACAGGCAGGAACTGAGCTCAGGTCTACCAGACTCTGCATACCATACATCCCTCATGGCCAAGATGTGCTAAGGCTCCCCCGCCCCCCACCTCCTTCACCAGCCCCTTGGGGATGACTCACCCCCTGGGAGTGCAGGTACTCCATGGTCCGGCACAGCGTGTGCAGGACAGAGCAGGCCTCACGCTCCGAGAAGAACTTCTGCCGAAGGATCTTGTCCAGGAGCTCCCCTCCCCGCATCAGCTCCGTCACCAGGTACACGTGCTTGCCATCATCATACACCTGAGGTGGCAGAAGAGGAGGATGTTATGGACAGCTGCCTTCCAGCTGGTGGGCATAGAAACCCCCCTAGGAACCTCCCCGGTGTCACCGGATCTCAGAGCTAAAGCTGGTCCTCCAAGGTCACTGAGGCAGCTGCAACCCAGGGGGGTTTAGTAACCAAAGATCACACAGGTAGGAAGTGGTGGAGCTGAGGTTTGAACCACACAACCCTGGAGAACACCAGAGTACAGATTCAGAGCTGGAAGGGACCCTAGGGGCCATCTAGCCCAATCCCCCCTTTATTTTAAAGGAAGAAACTGAGGCACAGGGAAGCTAACATCCAGGTAGCTCTTTGCTGGGTGAACCTCACTCTTCTCCAAGTTGGGAGGGGGTCAGCAGATCCAGGTTCCAAACCCTACCTCCAAGGCTTTTATTACCTATGTGACTTTGGGCCTCAGGCCTGTTTGGGCCTCAAACTAGGCCTAGGCCTCAGTTCCCCCCGCAAAATGAGGAGATTGGACTAGTTGGTCTCTGAGGATTCTTCTGGATCTAATAATCTAAGATCCTATTTATCATTGCAAGGCCCAGTGCTTTGAACTGAGGATAAAAAGATGAAAGACAACATGGTTCCTGGCCTCAAGGACAAATAGAAGTGATGTAGCCAGCACACAATTAAATACGATTACAAGGTAGGACACGGTAGGAGCACAGGACAGAGCCAGACAAAGGGCTTTAGAAGAATTCAAAGGGGGAGGGGCTGCTTTCACGGGGGGAGGGAGGAGAGATCAGGGGAAGCTTCATGAGCAGGGGCCACCAACTGAGCCTTGAAGGAGAAGCAGGATTTCAGCAGCAACAGATGAGAAAGGAGCATGCTCCTGGCATGCAGCAAAATGCTGAAAGAGGGGGAAGGGTAGGACAAGATCAGGAAACCTAGAAGTGGCCAGGTGGGCTGGGGTACAGCAAGTGTGTAGAGGAGTCTTGGAAAGCCTGGCTGGAAAGGGAAGAAGTCGCACTACAATGGGCCTTAAATGTCAAGCTCAGCTTTCTTGGGTAGAAAATTTGAAACGATGGAGATATGATGGAATGTCATTGTGCTATAAGAAACAACGATGAGGAATTCTGGGAAGCCTGGGAAGAGTTCTATGAACTGAAGCAGAGTGAAGTAGGCAGAACCAAGAAAACATACACAACGACCACAACAATGCAAACAGAGAGAACAAGAAGTCCCAGACGGAATCCGCATGACTATGGTGATGACACCTGGCTCCCAGAAGGAGCTGAGGAAATGCACCCCCCTCCCTGCGGTGGGGGATGGGGGACCATGCTTGTGGAATACTGCAGATACCATTAGACACAGTCAGCATGGTTGGCTGGTTTTGCCAAACTGTTTTTTCTTTTATAATCTTGATTATGTGGGTTGGCCTCACAGGTGGGTTGGAGAGGGTTAGATTTGGAAACAAATTAATATAAAAACAATAAAGTGCCAATAAAAATGAGAGGGAGTGTGCCCTAATGGATAGAGAACCACACCACCAGGAAGATCTGCCTCTGAGACATGCTATGCTGCCTTTCCAAGTGTTCTAGGCCACTCTCTAAGATTTCCAGTTAGAGGGGTGTTGACTTGCATTGGGAGAGGGGGGGATCCTCATCCGGAAATTCCCTTTACCCCTGAGATAACAGTCCGATCCCTATCTCTATCCTAGCAGTAAAAATCAGAGCATGGCCCATGGAGCCTAAATGGCAGAAATATTAAGATTACAAATCCCCCATGCAAAACTTTCATATAGGCTAAAGTTAACTTTACAGGCATAGATTTTTTTTTCTTATTGTTTAAATAAAGTAGTTAGAATTTTGTAAAATAAACAAATAAATAAAAAAAATCAGATTAATTTTTTAAAATGCCAGGCTGAAGAGGTTGTAAGGTTATATTCCGTCTTAGATGCAACGAGGACTGTAGGCTCATTGGGGGGAGAGGGAATTGCTGTTTCTTTTTTTGTCTCTGTACTCCGGCACCTCCAGCCTATTAAAATATAATTGAGTTAATCAAACAGAAAATCCTTTGCAAAGTTATCTAGAAACATGAGACTCCACTGTACGCTGCCACATTCTAGGCCTTGTAGATCCCTCACTTGTACATGGCATGGGAAAGGACTCCAGTGGCCGTCCACCTTCCGTCCACCTTCCAAGTGCAATCCCAGTAGTAGGCACTTGACAAAGGTTTGTTTAAATATTGAATCTCTGTATGAGGAGGATTGTATCGGCATCTAGGTGCTAGAATAGAGAGAGGCTGGGAGCAGGGAAGCCAGGTCGGAGATGGTTTTAATAATCCAGGCAAGAGGTGAAGAAGGCCTTAACAAAGACGGTGATGACAGTGTGAGGGTGGGAAGGGACCAATTCAGTCAATAAACACTTACTCAATAAACATTTATTAAACGCCTACTGGGTGCCAGGCACTGCACTAAGTGGATATAAAAGAGGAAAAAGACAGTTCCTGCCCTCAAGGAGCTCACGGTTTAATGGGGGAAACAATACGTACACAGCACCTGTTTGGATACTGGGAGATGGGTTGGGAAGGCGAAGGAAAGGGAAGAGTCAATGCTGACTGAGACTTTGGGGGGCCTAGGAAGGGGGCTGGGTAGATTTAGATAATGGATGGACGTTGGGCATAAGTAAGGAACCATTCCTGATCTGCCCCTGGCCCTGTTCAAAGGCAGGCCGTGTGACCCTGGGGGCAAAGGGCTCTAGGCTGGTAGACTGGTGACCTGGACTCTTATCCACCTTTCATCACCATGACTGTGTCACATTGGACATATCACAGCCTTGTACAGCCTCTATTTTCTCATCTGTAAAATGGAGGCCGTGACTTAAGAGAAGCCCTTAACCAAGCGAGCGTGGGAGCTTGGGTGCCGCTGCGGCTCGGCCCCTGTCCACAGGCAACCACCCTCCTTTGCTCTGCAGCCTCTTCTCCTTGAATCTCCCTGCTTCCTATCCCCCCTACTCACATCTTTCAGGGTGATGATGTTGGGGTGCTGGCCATAGCGCAGAAGGATCTCTATCTCCTCTGAGGGGTCCCTCTTGCTCTTGTCGATGACCTGGGAGAGAAGAAAGAAGGAAGAGTGGGAGGAGATGGGGATGGAAGCCAGACCACTAGGAGAGGGGTAATGGGAAGGGCCAAAGGTAGAAGGTTCATGTATCCCCTGGGGTGCTGAGCCTACACCCCAGGGGCTGGTGTTGAGTGGAGGAGTTAATCCCAGGGCTAACTAACCACCTCCCCCCCTCCCAGCTGTAGCCATCCTCAGTGCAGGAATACTGGGGGAAGGGGGTGCTAGAGGGTGATCCCCACCTTGACCGCATACTCCATGTTGGTGGCCTTGTGGATACAGCGCTTACACACGGAGTAAGAGCCAACTCCAATGGTCTCCTTCACGATGTAGCCATCGCTGAAAACCAAGCTTTTCCCATGAAGTTGCTGGGGAATGGGCAGGGAGGAGATAAGAAGAGAAGTTTCAGAGAGTGGCCCCCTCACTCTTTCCCCTTCCAGTCCCAACCTTCAGGTGGTTCTCTCTCAAAGCTTTGGCAGGAAGAGGTGGGGAGCCCAGAACTATCAATGGTGCCACTAAGGATTCACATGCAAGAACATGGATCCATCCCCAGAGAAGAAAGTGCTAAGTCAGGTGTTGGGTAAGAACATCAGGGCTCTAAGTGTTCAGGGCATGTGCCAAGGCTGTCATCAGCACGGTCGGGTGCCTTCTCATCTAGGAGTGAGACTCTGCTATCCAAGTGAAGGGTAGAGCAGAAAGACCGATGAACCAGGAATCATGAGACGTAGGCTTCTGTCCTTGGTTCTACTGCTCATTCCCTGTGTGACTTCAGTTCCCTCATCTGTCCAATGGGGACGAGAATCCTCGCCCTGTCTACCTCAGGGGAATATCGTGAGCCTCTGAGACACTAGATAGACGTGAAACAACTCTGAATAATACAAAGTCCTATAGAGATGCAATAACAAGTATCACTACTATCAGCATAAAGGAAGAACTAATACCTAGGATGGTCTAAAAGTGGACTGGCCTGCCTCTGTAGAGGGAGTGAGTTCTACACCACTGGAAGTATTTAAGGAAAGACTGGATGACCACCTGTTGGGTCTCCTGTTCACAGAGTTCACTGCGATGTTGTTAGTGAGGGGAACTCGCTTCACCCACGCAGACTGGCATCTTCTCTATGACTTGAGGGCTGCTTAGAGCCCTGAGAGGCTGACGCCCAAAGTGGAGCATCCAGCAGAGGTCAGAGGTGGTCAGCCTCCAAGGCCAACTGTCCAGCTACTACACTTTACTGTTCACTTGACGACCTCTCGGGTCTCCTCCGGCTCTGAGCTATAATTAGGCCTACCACTCCTGGTGCTCGCCCTGGGGGGCCCTGATGCCTCTTACGTTCCAGGTATGCCCCTAGCAACAAGCTTTGGCCTTGTTCTGGCCAAACTCCCCAGAGGACCAGGCAACCGTTCTGATCCAGCCCTGGTCTTCAGAGGCTGGGTGGAAAGTCTCCACCAGGACTAGCCTTAGGTCTCATACCTGGACCACTGAGTGCAGCGGGGCCTGTGGGGCTCGGACTTTGCCATCATCATCCATCAGACCTGTAGCCACAAAGCTGAAGCCCCGGAAGAGCTGGTGGGCCCCAGCGCTGGGGGGGATGCCCGGGGAGTCTAGGAGAGAAAGAAGGGAACATTGAACACCCAAAGCTATAGAGCAGATAAGGCCCATCTGCCTCCTTCCCTCTCCCCGGTGAGGCCAAATGCCAGAGTCCCCTGGACCCACAGAGGCAACAAGGAATAACAGAAGAGCCAGCTTTATTATTTATGACCTGTGTGACCTTAGGCAAATTACTTAAGGTCTCTGAGCCTGTTTCCTTAACTAGAAAATGGAGATAATATTTGTCACAAGATAATTGTGAGGATTAAATGAGGGAATGTGGGGAAGTGATTTGTACCTGCAAAGCCCCAAAGAGTGTGAGTTGCAAGGATTTTGTCCTTGCCAATGCAACAACCCCAAGGACATAGCCACAGCGCAGAAATGAGGCTGGGGAATTGTCACTTCAGAACACTGCTTCTCATGGGAAAGGTGGTGGAATATAGGAGTGGAATGAGGCATACATGATCTGACATGGGCAAAGTTTCAATTGTTTTTTTTTCTTCAGTTTATTTTGCTTAATTGATCTTTTGTTACCAGGGAGGGTTCTATGTGGGGTGAGGGGGGGGAGAGGAGTCACTGAGAAATGACCTTGATTTTTTTTTAATGGACAAAAAAACATTTTAAAATGTTTTTTTTTTAATTTTTATGTTTTAAAAAATCTTTTAAGATTTTTTGAAAAAGAAGTAAGATGGCTAATATGGAAATACGTTTTACATGATTGCACATACATAACCTATGTCAAATTGCTTACCATCTTGGGGAGGAGGGGCACAAGGAGGGAGGGAGAAAATTTGGAACTCAAAATTTTATTAAAAAAAAGAATGTTAAAAATTGTCTTTGCATGTAATTGGAAAATAAAACATTTTTATTTAAAAAAAATTAAAAGAAATGAGAACATTAACAAAATTTTTTTTAAATGCACAAAAGAACTAAGTCCAGAAGAGGGCACAAATTCCATTACTACATTGTAAAATTTACTCTTTCTTTAAAAACAAACTCTATATAAACAGTTCTAATTTTTCATCTATCCTCTTCTTTCTAAAAACGAAATGCTTATGTTTGTTGATGGTTAAGTTCACAAAAAAAAGGGGAAATCTTTTAAAAGAGAAATTAATTTGGGCTGAGGAGAAAGCAGGTCCTGGGCTCTCAGCAAGGGAAGCTACATTCCCCATCATCGGACCACTGCCCCACTGTTACCTGGGAGCTGGGATGGGGTAGGCATGCCCAAGCCCATTCATGTCCCTCCTCCTCCAAAATTCACCAGGCCCACAAAGCCTGCCCTGACTAGCCCCTCCCTACAGTGATCACTCCTTCCCCAGGCAGCTTCATTCAGACTGCCTGATGCAGGCTCAGAATCATGGAACTGGGGGTTGGGGGTGGGGTGGGTGGGGATCTCAGAGCACAGGCTGGGAGCTGAATGAGGCTGTGCAATGCAATAGAGAGGAACAAAAAAAGAGAGGCTTTGGCTCTTCTACTTCTTAGCTGTGTGACTCTGGGCAAGTCACCTCTCCCTGGGCCTCAGTTTCCTCATCTGTAAAATGGGGTGAGGGTTGGCCTGGATCAGGAATTCTTCACCTGGGGTTCACAAACTTGGTATTTTAAAAAATTCATTTTGATAACGATTTCAACTGAGTTGGTTTTCTTTGTTATCCTGTGTATTTTATTTTATGCATTTTGAAAAATGATTCTGAGAAGGGGCTTCCTCAGATGATCCGAGGGATCCAGGACACACAGCAAAGTTAAGGATTCCTGATCTATATGGTCTTGAAGGTCCCTTTCCAGATCTAAATCTATGATCATTTTACAGACAAGGAAACTGAGTCACAGAGAGATGAAATGGTTTGCTCAGGATCACAGAGCTAAGAAGCATCAGAATCATAGATTCAAAGTGATGAGGAATCTTAGAGACCAACTGGTCCAACATCTTCCTTTTATAAATGAGGAAACTGAGGCCCTCAGTGACGTGACCAACGGCAGACTCCAGGGACTGGTGTCCTCTCCCCTCTCTGGGCCTCATGTTCTTCATCTCTCAAAAGAGAGTGTAACACATACTACGTGGCCTCCTCAGGGGTCCCAGGGGTCCCAGGGGTTCCAGAGGCTCTCACCTCCTTCCTCCCCCTCCTTCTCCCTTCAGGACCTACGGTGGAGAAGGAACTCGGTCCAAGGGCCACCTTCTACATGAAGCCCTACTTGATCTACGGCTAGCACCATCCGCATTCGGATCACCTCGTTTGTGTCTGTTGCCCACATTTTGTGCATAGCCACCTAGGTACACGCTCCATTCTCATCCAACAATGTAATTTCCTTGAGTGCAGGGGCTGTCTCTGGGTCACTCTGTGCTAGGCACATAGGGGGCTCCTCGTAACTACTTACTGCCTGACCGACATCCTGTTAATTTACCTACCCTTGGGGGTTCGGGAAGTGAACTCCGCGTCAAAGTAGAAGGTGTCATCGGGTTGGGCGACTGCAGGCTTGAAGGGGGGTTTGATCTCACGACGAAACAGTTTCTGGAAACACAGTCCCAGTCTGTCAGGTGGCCTTGGACACCCCACAGCCCAAAGCAGAGGAAGGGACAATGGCCCCATTCCCCTGGGGGGGGGGGTGCAGCTGCTCCACAGCCACAGGGAGGTCTGGGAACCTGGGCAGTATCTGCCACTCCCAGATGGACCAGGAGGCACCTATCTTCTCCCTAACCTCGATGCCCAAGGGCCAGAAAGGGGGAGGGGCTCTGCAGGGCAGCGGAAAGAGGAGCTGGGGTCAAATCCTGGCTCTTGCCTCTTCTAACCTGTGGGGCCGTGAGCAAGCTATTTCTCTGGGCCTCAGTTTCCTCTTCTGTAAAATGAGGGAGTTAGACTAGATGGCCTCCAATTTAAAATCTGTGGTCACGCGGTTCAGAGCCTGCCGGATTCTTCCTGCCACCCTACAACAGGGTTGTGAACCTGTGGTTCAGAGGGGTCACGGAGGCCAGCCTCCTGCGGCACCTTGCTCTGACCACGTGGATACCAAATCCCCAGCCTCTGGGCTGCTGAGGGCCAGAGATCTCCGGGCCCATCTTCACACTGCCCCACAGCAAGGCAGGATTTCAGGGGCTGCTGAGACCACTCCCCCATCTCCAGGGCCCCTGTCATGAGCTTGGGGCTGCTGGCTGTGATGTGAAGTTCTTCCCCAGAGCCTCCCCACCAAGGGCCCCCGGACTCTTGGATAAAGAGGGCAGGAAGCAGCCTAAGAAGAGATGGCTTTAAATCTATCGATTGTGGGAGGGCGAGGAATAGGGGAAGGCATTTGGGGAGGCACTCAGAGCCCCACCAGGGACTTTACTAGATAGAAATCTTTCTTCTTCCCTGCCCTACCTCCCACCCTCAAATTTTCCCAGGGCAGTCCAGGGAAGGTGAAGTCAGGGGTGCACCATGGGGGAGGAGGAGACGGAAAGCAGCTGGGGGTGGGGAAGGACAACTCACGTTCCAGTCTATGGTAGAATAGAAGACGTGCCTCTTAATCTCTTCAGCGCCATCAGTACCAGAGCCTGAAATATTAACATCATTACTCTGCTGTGCGCATGAGTATTTTATCTTCTTAAGCCTAGACAGATGTCCTTGCTGTGGCATGGAGGTAAGCCTGGCCCCAAAGGCTCCATGAGTTCTGGTGAGTTCTATGCAGCTGTGAGAGCATCCAGCACGGGCCCACCCGGTGATGAGCCCCCAGCTCTGCTCTCTGGGGACCAGCAGGGCTGAGGTCAGGTCACAGCCAGAAGGCTGGTATTCAATGCCCTTTGCAGTCTGGCTCTGGCCTCTCTTCCGGGTTGATTACACATTACTTAAGCTCTCTACTTCAAGCAAACTGTCCTTCTCAGGGTTCCCTGAACACAGTACTTGATCTCCTGCTTCTGCACCTTTAACTGGCGGTCCCCCCTGCCTGGAATGCACTCCTTCCTCACTGCTATCTCTTAGCATCTTACAAGGCTTTGCTCACGGACCACCTCCTATGGGAAACCTTCCGAGGTCCCCTTGGTTAGTGGCCCTATCTCCTGCCTCCTTAAATTATCACATTTATACCTGTTTATATCTGTTAAATCCACTTTCTGTCACCTCCGACTCAAGAGGAGGGACTGTTTTTCATCTTGTCTTTATGTACTCAGAGCCTGGTATACAGCAGGCACTTAATAAATACTTATTGGATTGGATAAACTATGGGGATGGACAGACAGTGGATAAAAGGAAGTCCTGAAGTATGGTCCTCTTTGGCTCTCTAGCACTGGTGGACAGCAGGTGGGATTTATCATCTCGGGTTTTTTTAAAGAAGGAAGCTGAAGATCAGAGAGGTTAAGTGACTGGCTCCAAATTGCACAGCAGAGGTAAGTGGCTGCTACCTCCTGCCCTCAGCCTCCAGGGGTCCTGGGGCTCACTGTCCAGAGGCCTCTCCTCCCTGCTCCTATCACCCTGGGTACTGTTCTCTGGCCCTGGTGAGACAACATCTTCTACGGCTATCCCTGACCCCAGACAAGAGCTGAATTTGGTAGAGTAAAAAAAAAGCACTGAATTTGGCAATCAAAAGATCTGAGTCTGAGTCCCATCCTAACAAGGTGACCTTGAGCAAGTCATTTCCCTTTACTGGGGCTTCTACTGACTCAGCCGGCAAACGAGGGGGCCAGACTAGGGAGTGTGACCTCACGGACAGAATGCTGGACTTGGAATCAGGAAAATCTGAGTTCGAATCTCGCCTCAGACACTGGCCAGTTGTATGACCCTGTGCAAGTCAATTTTAACATATCTGAGCCTCAGTTTTCTTATCTATAAAATGGGGACAATGATAGCACCATCTTCCCCATCTTGGGGCTGTGTATGCAAAATGCTTTGCAAACCCTAAAATGCCATGTAAAGTGTGATTCATCTCATTCTCCTCATCTTTTCTCATGATGTTCAGATTGATATGGTCCTGGGCCCAGTCTTATTATTATTACTATTATTTCAAAGGTCTGACATGCTGTGACCCTCAAACTGGCTGAGCTGCTGCAGGGACCAAAGGCCTCAGTCTTGGGGCTACACCTAGGACACGGGGGGGGGGGGGGAGTGTGGATGTTGCTGCCCCACAATCCCCACTGCTGGCAAACTGAGCCCAAGGCTGTGAATGGGCACCCAGGAATCGTGACTGCCTTCATGCAGGCGGCAGTTGTCTTCTCCCGGCTCAGAGGACAATGCCCTCCTTTCAGGCTGAGCCGGGAGGGGAGGGAGGGGTGGGGCTCTGACCTGGCCTGGCCTGCGCAGGACCCATCTCCCCACCGCTACAACACACCCTCCCCTACGCTGCCCCTCGGGGACAGGACATTACCCAGCCTGTTGGCAGGATTCCTCTTGAACAGGGCTCGAAGGAGGCTTTGTGCTTCGGTGCTCAGAAACTGGGGCATGCCCAGCTTTGCCCTGAAAAACAATGACAGGGCATCGTCAGGGCTGGGGCAGGAGGGTTCCCCGCTCCCTGGGCTGGCTGGCCTGCGCTTCCTGCGCCTTTGGCCCTTCATCCGTCTAGGCTGGTCCCATGTCATTCTCTGCATGGCTATGTCCAAACCACCAGGAGGTGCGTGGGGAGGCCACTGGGAGTCATGAGGAGCAAGAGAGGAGAGAGGTGGAAGGGAAAGGCTCCCAGGGATGGAGCCTGGACGGGGAATCGGGGGGCTCAGTCATTAGCTCATTGGGTGACCTGGCAGAAGCTACTTACCTTCTGTTCCCTTATCTATAAAGAAAAGGAGTTGGACTAAAGAACCTGTTAAATTCCCTTCCAGGTCTAACCTTCTGCGTTCTAATGTGCTGTGACATTCTGTGTTCTAAGGCCTCTCCCAGCTCTCACATTCTGTGTTCTAAAGGCCCTCCCAGCTCTGACATTCTGTGTTCTAAAGGCCCTCCCAGTTCTGACATCCTAGGTTCTAAGGACCCTCCCAGATCTGACATTCTGTGTTCTAAGGGCCCTCCCAGCTCTGACATTCTGTGTTTTAAGGGCCCTCCCAGCTCTGACATTCTGTGTTCTAAGGGCCCTCCCAGCTCCGACATCCTGTGTTCTAAGGGCCCTCCCAGCTCTCACATTCTGTGTTCTAAGGCCCCTCCCAGCTCTGACATTCTGTGCTTTCATATTCTGTGTTCTAAGGGTCCTCCCAGTTCTGGCATTCCATGTTCTAAGGGCCCTCCCAGCTCTGACATTCTGTGCTTTCATATTCTGTGTTCTAAGAGCCCTCCCAGCTCTGACATTCTGTGTTCTAAGGTCCTCCCAGTGCTGACATTCCATGTTTTAACGCCCTTTCAGCTCTGACATCCCCTGTTCTAAGCTTCTCCTAGCTTAGACAGTCTGTATCTCCTGGGGGATGCTCACTTGAGAATCAGTGTCATGGTCTCCTTCCGGTCTTTCCCCTGAAAGGGCAGGGAGCCCGTTAGCATCTCAAACTGTAGAAAACAAGGGACACATTCAGACTGGTGCCAGACCCTGGGTTCCCGCCTTCATATCCACCCACCGTGGTCATTCCCTGGATTCAAGGCATTCTTTCCCTCCTTGGTGGTCCTCCTCTGGAGCCCACCACCAGCCCCTCCATGCTAGGCCTCTGGACTCAGTGTCCAAGGAGGGCTCAGTCTCTTGCCTCTCGACACCTCCTGTCCTTCCACACACACCCACCCCCCATTCTGGGTGGCCACTGAAATGAGTCCCAACCACTCCAGGGACCTGCTGCCCGGGGCTGGCAACACTTGTGCTTACCAATCCCGCCCCCTCTCTCACTCCCCACCCCAGTTTTTTGACCTCTGAGGCCAGCTCCGAGACCACTAGGTGGCAGCACCAGCACTGCCCGGCGGGGCTGCCCCTGGACAGCAAAGGTCACAAGTCTCTCTTTGCCTCCAACTTGTTGTTTGACCTTGGGAAAGTCATCCCTACTCCCTGAATCTCATTTTTCTCCTTTTTAAAATGAGGAGGTTTTGAGATGAGAAGATACATCTCCCTCCTTCCATTTATGATGGAGAGTGGGGGGTGGGAGGGCTGGGGGTCTGGGTGCAAAACGCGGTTGATTTGCTGAATTGTTTCATTGTTTGCTTTCTGCTTCATTGTTCTCTTTCTGCTTAATTTTTGTTAGGAGGGATGGCTCATTGGGCAGGGGAGAAAAGAAGGATAGATTTAGAAACAGAGGTGGTGTTTAAAAAAAAAGCCAAAAGATAGCAAAACAAACTAAGGCCGGGATGTGAGTGGGCTGAGCACTGGACAGAGAGACAAGTTCTTGCTCAGCCACTAATTGTATGACCGTGGGCTAGTCACAACCTCTTTGGGCCTCAGCTTTCTCATCTGTAAAATGAGGTTAGCAACCACAAACACTTAGAGCTTACCATGCACTGGGCACTGTCTTAAGCACTTTACAATTACCATCTCGTTGAATCCTCACAATAACCCTAGGAGGTAGGTGCTATTATCTCCATTTCACAGATGAAGAAACTGAGGCAAACAAGGTGGAGTGACTTGCCCAAGATCACACAGCTAGTAAGTGTCTGAAACTGGATTTGAACTCAAACCTTCCTTAACTCCGGGCCTGGCACTCTATCCAAATAGCACCTACCTCCCAAGGGATGGTGCGAGGATCAAATGAGTTAACACATGTTGAGAACCTTAATGTACTACATAAATGCCAGCTATTATCATTATTGCTTAAAAAGTAAGATAAGTTCAGAACTTCCTGACCTTTTTTTTCTGTTCCCCATGCCCTCTGACTTTCGGTAATCCTTCCTATGCCTCCTAGTCAATAGGGGCATGGTGGAAATAAATCCTAGAGTTTATTCTGCACGTAAGAAATAAAATGAAGCGATTCACTGGATTCTTGGTTAAACATCCGTAGCAGGGTGAGGTTGTATAAATCAATTTAAACAGAATTTTGTGATTCAAAAAACCAAATCAAAATATTCCCTCTACCCTTGGGGAGGTGGCCTGGGTTGGGCACCCGGGGGACAGGTAGTCGTTCAGGGTCCTGGCAGCTCCACCAGCTGACGCTCAGTGGCCCTGTCCGGCCCCCACGTTATTAAGGCATCCCCCGCCTGGCGCTCTCACCATCAGCACCCCGTAGGACCACCAGTCGGCGCTGTGGGTGTGGCCCTGGCGGTTGACAACTTCAGGCGCCATGTACTCCACGGTCCCACAGAAGGAGTAGGCTTTCTTCTCATGGTCGATGGCCTCCTTGCTCAGGCCAAAATCTGCAACCAGGAGAGGCAGGGAGGCTGAGTTAGCATTACCGCCCCGAGACTCGGGGAGAGCTTCCCACCAAACCCCAGAGGCACCCCCGAACATGGCCAAGGCTGGGGCCCCTTACCTGTGAGTTTGATATGTCCTTCTTCATCCAGAAGGATGCTGCAAGGATGGGGGAGAGGGGGAGGGGGACAAGTCAGTACCAGAAGCAGCAGGAACCCTGAATTCTGCCAGCCCCCAGCTATAACTCCCAAGATTACAGATCTCCAGCTAGAAGAGATCTCAGATGCCATCAAGTCATTCTGATTTTTTTGGGGGGGGGGGTGAGGCAATTGGGGTTAAGTGACTTGCCCAGGGTCACACAGCTAGTGCATGTTATGTGTCTGAGGTCAAATCTGCACTCAGGTCCTTCTGACTTCAGGGTCGGTGCTCTATCTACTGTGCCACCCAGCTGCTCCTGATTTTCTGAAAATGTTATTTTTGGGGCAGCTAGGTGGTGCAGTAGATAGAGCACCAGCCCTGGGGTCAAGAAGGATCTGATACTTACTAGCTGCGTGATCCTGGGCAAGTCACTTAACCCCGATTGCTTCCCCAAAAGAATGAGTTTTATTGAAAGTTTTTGTTCTTATGTTACTTTCATTTTTTTTCCGGGTTCTAAATTCAACTTTATTACATTTTCAGTTCCTGAATCTCTCCTTCCTCCTCTCACTGAGAAGGCAGAAAAACAAAACCCATGACAAATACACATAGCCACATAAAACAAACGTCTGCATTAGTCATCTCTCTCCTTTTACAGATAAGGAAACTGAGGCCCAGGGAGATGAGGGGAGCTGCAGAAGCCTACAGTAAGCATCAGAAGTGGGATTGGAACCCAGGTGCTCTGACTTGAGCATCAATGCTCTGTCTCTGTCTCACACAAGGCTTCTCCACCTTTGCGCTCCAGCTGGACTAGACCACTCAGGGCTCCCCATCCAGAGGATTTTGCTCAAGCCGCTCCCTGGGCCAGTGCCCTCACCCCTCCTGCTTCCTCTCTGCCCATCCTTAACAGCCCAACCCAAGTGCCACCTCCTCCAGGAAGCTACCCTGATCCCTTCAGGAGGCACCAGGTCCTTCCCACCCTGAATTTCATCAAACACTTTGCCTGCAGCTTCTCTACTGGTTAATGTTCATAACGACTGTGATGCAGCTTATTTCACTCGTAAGCTCTATGAAGGCAAGGGAAGGAAAAAGGGGAAGCAGCTTGCTCAGCTCCAGCATAAAGAAGAAAATTAAGTATAATGTGCCTTGAGATCCTTAAGACTCAAAGGAATGAGGAGCACCTTGAACCATCTTCAGATTTCACTCTAGAACCACGGTGGTCCCTTGAGGGATGAATGGGGGAGGAGGGGCATCAGTCACTTCCCCTCTCGTCTCCTTTGCTCTGACCTCCCAATAGGAATGCGCTAGCTGCTAGGCTCCCCTTGGCTTCCTGCTCTCCTCAGCCATTGTCTCTGTATCCAAAGCTACCTTTCCTCTTCACTTCCCCAATCAGATATCTTCCTCTGAAGGATTTAGCATGGTATAGACTCAGGTTCAGGGATAGCTAGGTGGCACAGTGGATACAGCACTGGGCCTGGAGATCAGAAGACCTGAGTTCCAATCTGGCCTTACTAGACACTTCTTAGCTGGGTGACCTTGGGCAAGTCACTTAACCCTGCTTGCCTCAGTTTCCTCATCTATAAAATGATCGGGAGGAAGAAATGGCAAACCACTCCAGTATTTCTGCCAAGAAAACCCCAAATGGGGTCATGAAGAGTTGGACACAAGATTCAGGTTCAAATTTCACCTCTCCCTTTTACTACCTATGTGACCCCGGGTAAATCATTTCATTTAAGACTCAGTTTCCTCGCCTGTAAAATGAGACAGCCTTGGAGATCTTTTCCAGTTATCAATCTATACTCCCCTGGTGCTTTTTTGCCCAGTTAACTTAGAAGATACACTAATTCAAACTGAAGTGTCAATGACTTAATCATTAATTAATTAAATTCCTTAATCATTATCATTATCATCAACAAGCATTTATTAAGTGTCTAAAGTGTTCCATGATATACCCCTCCCAGAGGTACATCTGAACATATTAAATAATTAAGGAATGCAGAATATTATGACAAAGGTTAGAACTAAGCTGGACCTTAGAGTTCGGTCCACTTTAATTTTAACAAGGAGAGAACTTAGATCCAGAAAGGTTATGATACTTTGTTTCAGGTCCCACAGTAAATTAGTGACAGAGCTAAAGAAGAATTCAGGCCCCAGTCCCAGGCTCTTTTCATAACCTCACACTGACTCTTCCCATATAAAAAAAAGAAAAAAAAAATTAAAAAAAAAAAAGAGTCTGGAGAGGGCAATGCTTAGCCCAAAGGAATGGCTCGTTAATGGTGGAATTTCAGGCACTGTGCTGGTGACAAGTTGAGGAAGAGACTACTTGGGGGCCATACTGGAAATGCAAAGACTGAAATCTGGCTCAAGTACGGGGCTGATCTGCTCACAGGAGGTGCCAGTCCCCATCTTCAGCCATCCCACACATACTTTTCGGGCTTGAGGTCTCGGTAAATGATCCCCAGTTTGTGCAGGTGATCCAGGCCCAGAGCCAGCTCAGCCAGGTAGAACTTCACATCTTCTTCTGTGAACATGACCTGGGGATGGACAGGGGCAGTAGGCTCCAGTACCCACAATGCTCAGCTTCTCCGAGCCCACCCCCGCCAAGCCCAAGAGCAAGGTCAGGCGAGCTCCGGGGGCAGAAAACTGAGCCAACCCACCTCTCCCAACAGAAGGGGCATTTCCCTCCTTAGCCGCCCTGGACTCTGGGACACCATCATTCTTGGGAGAGGCAGCAGCTTCTGAGGGGTACTTCAGGTCCCTCTTCTGCACTCCCCAACCATTCTTGGCCCCCTTAAAGGCCTGGTCATTGAGGCCTCCAGCTGAGGCTCCCCTGGGGGTTCCCCTAACTCCCCCTCTTCTCTCTTCACGCACCTGTACAAGGCACAGGCTCTCAGACTGGCAGAATTGCCTAGAGCGCCGGGGCCAGACGGGAAGATACTCACCTCTTTGGAGAGTCGTGTGAAGAGGTCCCCTCCCCGGAGAAAGTCCAGGATGAGATAGAGCTTCCCCTCTGTCTGGAAGGCTGAGGCAGAGGGAACAGGGGTCGTGGGCTGCATGCCACTGCCCCTGGGGCGGACAGCTTGGGAGGACCTGGAGGTGGGCATACATAGCCTCCCTCTGGCCAGTGGAGCTAGGGGCTGGGGGGCTAGGAAGAATGGGCAGTGCCCACTAAGCCAGGCTGGATGTTGTGACAACCAAGAAAACCTCTGTGGAGGCAGGCAGGCAGGCAACAAACATTTATGAAGCACCAACTATGTGCCCAGCACTGTGCTAAGCTCTGGGGATACAAAAAGAGGCAAAAGCCAGTCCAGGCAAAAGTCAAGGACTTACAATTTAATGAGGCAGTGTGGAGTGTGACTAATTCTTTCTTATTAGGGGGAGGAGGCTGCCTGACCCCCTGAGGCAGAGAGAGATACACATAGGAGGACAATATGCCACTGTATCCCTACTTGGGATAGAGACTGAACTCTCTGGTTCCCCACTCCCACCCTCCCCACCCCCCCACCCCACCCCGGGCAGTCAAGGGTTGATCAAACATGGAAGTGAGTGTGTGTGTGTGTGTGTGTGTGTGTGTGTGTGTGTGTGTGTGTGTGTGTGTGTGTGTGCGCACCCGCACACACACCCAAGAGTTTGTCCTGGGAGAGGCCCTGGTCCACCAGAGGCTCCTGGAATGGCTCTTTGTCTACAGTAGAGGTAGGGAAGGGGTCGAGGGCTGCTCACCATAGTGAAGCTTTACCACAAATGGGTGGTTGACGTCAGCTAGGATGTCTCTCTCCATCTTCGTCCTGACTCGATCCCGAACTTTCAGGTGTGGGTAAAAGAGAGGCCAAGTCACTGAGTGTTCCCTTCCCGACCAGGAGGCTGAGGCTCAGGGCAGCCTCTCTTCCAGCTTTATACACTGTCTGCCCCATCCTTTCCCCTCTGACCTACCCAGTGCCCTTCCCAATTTTCCTGTCTATGAAATCACTCCATTTCACTTAGGTTTAAAACCCAGAGCCATCCTGCAGACCTCCAACCTCCCCAGAGCAGTTCTTCACTTTTTGTATGCTATGGAGCTCCCGAGCAGCCTGCTGAAGCCTAGGGACCCTTCATCATATTCGTAAATGATTAAAGGGACTGTTAAATTTAGGCTAGAAGTTAGTGAAAACAAAGCTGCCATTTTATCCTGTCCTGGTTCTTGGTACCCCTGAAATCTACCTATGTCCCCCTGGGAATCTCTCACAGTCATCCTTCTTCCTAGTCCTACAGCCATCAGCCTCCATCAGGACCTCATCACATCTCCCCTGAACAACACAATGAACCAGAGCCACTCTCCCTGGCTCTTGGGACTCTTCCCTCATTCATTCTCACAGACCATCAGACTCGTCCTCTTAATACACAGCTCAGAACACAAAATGAAGGGACTGGATTAAACTATGTCTACGTCCCTTCAGCTGTAACACTGTGTGTGCGCTCTTGTACTCTATGTTGTAAAGTTCCTCCCATATTGGACACTTGGTGTTCGAACGACTCCCCTGGTCCTTAGGGCCCTTCCCACTTCAGGAATCCTAAGTTCTAAGATCCCTTACAGCTCTGACATTCTGTGTTCTAAGTTCCCTCCCAGTTTCAACATCCCAGGTTCTAAGTAGGGGTAGGGAACCTGTGGCCTCAAGGCCACACATGGCCTTCTAAGTCCTTGGGTGTGGACTTTTGACTGAGTCCAAGTTTTACAGAACAAATTATTTTATTAAAGGGATTTGTTCTGTGAAGTTTAGATTAAGTCAAAGGGCTGCACTTGAAGACCTAGAGGGCCACATGTGGCCTTGAAGTCGTAGGTTCCCCATCCCTGTTCTAAGGTCTCTCTCAGCTCTGACATTCTCTGTTCTAAAATCTCTTCTAGTTCTGACATTCTATGTTCTAATGTTCTTCCCAGCTCTAACCTTCTGTGTTCTAAGATCTCTTCCTGCTCTGACATTCTACCTTCTAACATGCTATCAATCACTCAGTAAGTATTTACTAAGTATCAACTGCTTCCAGGCTGGTGCTAAACACTAGGATACAGAGACAAAAACTAAGCTAGACAGTCCCTGCCCTCAGGGAGCTTACAGTCAGTCTACTGGAGGAATGGAACGGGAGATAAGATATGTTTACAGAAAAATAAATACAGGATATATACAAAATAATTACAAATTTTAGGGCTGTGTGGTGCTAATAACTGGGGGAATCAGGGATAGGTCCCCTTTAGGAGATGGTCTGTGAGCTGAGCCTTGAAGGAAGTCGAGGGTTGCAAGAGACAGGGAGGGGGAGACTGAGGATACTGGGAACGAGGATGAGCCTCTGGAAAGGTGCTGAGATGAGAGGCGGCCTGATGGTCACTGCAGAGGGAGCCGCAAACAGGTCGGTTTGGTTGAAGCCTGGAGTTCATGAGAGACTGTGTGTAATAAGCTTAGAAAAACGTGCTCCTGAGCTAGGGTTGTGGCTGGCTTATCAGATGTGAGCGGCAGAGATGCCAGGTTAGGCCCTGTGAGGAAGGTAGTTTGTGGAACGGAGAGACTGGATTTGGGGAGACAAATGAGGAGGGTGCTACAGGTCCAGGAGCTGAATTAGGATGGGTAGGCTGGGACCAGAGAGAAGTGGATGGATGTGAAGGGATGTGGAGGCAGAATTGACAAGACAATTAACTAATCAGTTAATTTAAAAAATACCTCTTTCAGCTCTACCACTTTGGGATCCTGTGTTACTCTTCTTATCAAGAACATGAGATGGCTGCTTACTGCCTATTTCTGGTCCTGGCATTCAAGGCCCCACCCTACCCTATTCAGCCTTATCTCCCTCTGCTCACTCACATACATCCTCTAACTAGAGTGTCCTTAAGTCTGCCTCTAGAGATGGGCCCTATCTCTTCAGACTGAGGACTCTTCTAGGGTGGGGCTTTGTCTCTCCCATCAGAACAGGGTTTCCCAAGGGCTTTTGCCCTGGTTACCCAGAGCTAGCAGCTTGCCCGCCAGCCCCCTTACCTTTCAAGGTTGCTTTCTTTAGCACTTTCATGGCATAGAGGTGCCCATTGTCTGGGCGAGTGATCTTCCTCACCAGAAAGACCTATGGAACACGGGAGAAGAGAGTGTCAAGGACAGGAAAGGGAGGGGGAAAACGGAGACTAGGGGTAAAGAAGAGAGGGACCAGAAGGGCCATCACGAAGGGGAGACATTGGAAGCAGGAGGCTTTGGGGAGTCATTGGGGGGAGGGGCTGGAAGGACCAAAGCTAGGCCTAGAGCAATTTGAGAATTCTACCTTTGCCGGAGTAGGAGCCTGGTGCGGCCTTCCTCCCTCCCTCCCAGCCCCGACTTCAGCACTCAGATACCGTGAGCAACTGCCTGGCCACAGCTCCCAAGCCGCCGAGTGGCAGCAATGCCAGGGCCTCCTAACAGCCAGAATACTCACTTTGCCAAAGGAACCCTGGCCCAGGACCTTCAGGAGCTCAAACTGGGATGGGTCAGCCTTTTCTGAGCCCTCCTTGACATGGTGCGTAATAGAGATCTCTTTGACAATGCCTTCATCCTGGTGGTGGGGGAGAGAGAACTCAGTGATAGCTGCTGAATGGAGCTGGTACAATGGGCACGGTTCTGTTGTAGACTGAGCTAACATGATCCCTCATTCTAAGCCCCTTTCCACAAGGTCCAATCCTTAGGCAGACCAGGTATCCGCACAGAACTACAGAACGCGGCACCCTGGAGAGACTTCGGAAGATAGAATGTCAGAGCTGAGAGGGCCCTCAGAACGCAGAATGTCAGAGCCTGGAGGGCCCTTAGAACACAGAATGTCAGAGCCTGGAGGGCCCTTAGAACACAGAATGTCAGAGCCTGGAGGGCCCTTAGAACACAGAATGTCAGAGCTGGGAGGGATAACTATTTAGATCATGGAATTACAGATTTAGAACTGGAAGGGAATTCAGAGATCATCTAGTCCAACTCCCTAATTTTACAGATAAGGAAACTGAGGCCCAGACAAGGGCAGTGACCTCCCCAAGGTTGCACATTATTTCAGTGGCAGAGCCAATTCTGACTCCCAGGGCAGTTTTTTTCCATTATAACACGCCCAGGGCTCCTCCTAGGAGTTCAGGTAGGCACTGCCAGGTGGTTGCTTGGCAGAGCACTCCTGTTCAACAATGCTAACTGCCAGAAGGAAAAGGAGCTACTGAGGGGGTGTCAGCATCTTTCCCTGCCTCCTCCCCCCACCAATTGGGCACCAGCGAAGGTAACAGTTGGGCACCCTTGTTTCATTGGCACAACAAGTGGAGGCTGCTGGCCAACATGGGCATCACCCATCTGCCAGGCCGCCTGGGCCCCTCATGCATGGCCAGTACCAGTCCCCAAAGCTTCGGAGCCCTGGCATAGATTCAGCTCCCCAGCTGGAGCTTGGGGAGGGGGGATCCAAGGTAGGGCGGGGACCCCTCTGCTGGATCACAGACATGATCATCCTGCCCGAGCTGCTTTGCTCCTCCCCTCTCCCCAGAAGGGCTTGGAGGGGGTGGGGAGAGGAAGGTGCAGGACAGCTTTTGTTTTGGCCACAATAGGAAGTGAGGTTCCTTCTCTCTGTCCTCCTTCCCTCACACCCACTCTATCTGCCTTGAGAGGCCTCTGTTTGCCTCTCTGCCAAGAGTCCCAAGAACTGGCTGTGTTCATAACCACTCTCCCCAGTCTTGTCTGGCCCAAGAGTCCAGAGAGCTGGTGCTGACAGCACTGAGGGTTCCCCTGAAACGTGGGGTACACTTAACATGCTACCAGCTTCCACACAGGAAGGAAGCACTCAGAGAGCCCTTGGAGTAAGTGCCAACAACCCCAGGGCCTTTACTTAAATGGGGGACACACTGAGTAAGCCATAGTCAGACTGCCTGGGCATGCCCATCCCCCGCCTCACTTTCTTAGAATTCTACCCACAGTGTGCTTCAGTTCCCCCATAAGCATGCTCCCTTCCAAGGCCAAAGATCTCCCAGACTTCCCTGCAGCTCCTGTAAGTCCCCTCATGTACACCTACAGTCGGCCCTGTCTATGCCCAGACCACTTGTCCTAGCCTCTCTATCATTCACACCTGGCACTGGGTGGCTCCATAGGTCCCTGGGATATCAACCGCAGGCATTGTCCCTGGATGAGACCCAGGTTGGAGCAGGAGACCCGAGGAGCTCGAGTGCTCCTACCGACCCTGCTGGGGCTGGCTCCAAGTCACAAAGAGATGCACTGAGGACAGGAATAGGCCACTTGCCCCATGCTCTGCGCCCTCCCCCACGCATACCACACACACACACACACACACACACACACACACACACACACACACACACGCATGCAGAGTTGTCTTAAGAACACCTGCTCTAGAAGAGGGATGACGAGCCAAAGTCCAAAAAGAAAGGAAGTCCTTCCTCCTGACCTTTCCTCTCCACCCCAAGCTTCCCTTCCCTTCCCGACCTGCCCTCTCCTTCCTGAGCATCTCCCCCGCCCCTACCCTTCACTGGGCCTCTCCTCCTTCCTCCTGGCTGCTCCTGCGTGTGTCCCTCTATCCTCTCCCTCCCAGCCATCACTAACCGTGTCTTGGTTCAGGCTGGGGCCCAGGGTAGGCACTGGTGCCCCACCAAGCCTTGCCCGCTGTTTCCTGGGCAGCCAGAGGCTGAGTAAGGCCCGGAAGCGGGGCGGCTTTGGATGCCGTTCCATCCTCCCATCCCATAGGCTCCACTCCATCCACCTGTTGGGGCTGCCTGCTGCCCTGGCACCATGGCAGGTGGTGGCCCTGGCAGGCCGCTGCTCTCGTTGGAGGCCCGGCTGGCGGGCGGATGTTCAGGGAGGGGGCCGGACCAGCCTAAGCTGAGCCCAGCACCAATCACTCACAGCCTGTGGTTTCCCCACTCTTAGCTTGCACCCTTCCTTCACTCAATCGCCTCAGTTACCCTTCAAAATACAGGAAGCGCTGCCTGCCTGATTCATGCCCCTCCCCATGGCCCAAAGATGATAGATGCCGCCTCACACAGATCGAGGGGAAGCCCCATGCCAACCCCAGGAAAAGGTCAGCCAGGACAGGCAGGCTGGACTGCCTGAGGGAATCACCCCAGAACTGAGAGTCAGGATGCTTGGGGCCCTGGAGCTACTCCAAATCCACGGGGTTGGGAGTCTAAGGAGTTGGGTTCAAATCCCCTCACTGCAACTTGCTACTTCTGGCAGTAGCTCTGGTTGTCTGAGTGTCCTACTGTGGACAGTGCTGGAGAGTACTGGACGTGGAGTCAGGAAGACCTGAGTTCAGATCCTACCTCAGAGACTTACTAGAGGTGTGACCCTGAGCAAATCAGCTAACCTCACTCAGCCTCAGTTTTCTCATCTCTAAAACGGGGATAATAACAGCACATACCTCCCAGGGTTGTTAGGAGAATCCAAAGAGATAATATTTGTAAAGGGCTTTACAAACCTTAAATAAAGCATTACGTAGACGATGGCTATTAATATTAGCTATTATCCTCTCTATAGGTAACTCAAGTAGACCACAAGGAGAAAAAGGTACCTGCCTCCAAATTCTGGCTAGTTAATCACTACCTGTGCGCCCTTGGGTAGCTCCTTACCTTCTGCATGTTTCAGCCTCAGTTTCCTTCTCTAGAACATGATAAGGATGGCTTCTGAGGTCCCTATCTATTACTCTGATTTGAAATTGGTCAAAACATAAGGGAAGAGTGAGGAGGGAAGGGAAGTGAAGAGCCTGGTGGGTTCCGAGCCAGTTCCGGGGAGTCTGTTGAGGCTGACACCCAGAGAGTGCCTCAGACTGGGCTTCAGGGGCCAAAAAGGACAAGCCCCCCTGGAGCTGGGCCAGCCACTCACTCCTTCCCTTGGGAACAAGATGAGCTCTTCACGGTGATGCAGGCCCTCCCTGCGCTCTACTGCCAGCCTGGGTCTCTGCTCTCCTGATGCCTCCATGCCCCTGGGGATGCCCAGCCTGGCCGGCTAGATAGCTGCCCCAATGGTGAGAAATGTGGGCTGCCACTGGCAGGGAACTGCTACTATCAGACTAGATGAGGTCAAGGAGAGTACACCTGGAATCAGAGAACCTAGGTTCAAATCTCAACTCCACTGCTTACTGCCGGTGTGACCTTAAGCAAGTCATTTAACCTCGCGGGACTCAGTTTCCTTCTGTGTACAATGAAGGGGCTGAATTTGATGACCTCTAAGGGCCCTTTCAGCTCAGATATATGATCTCACGAGCCCCCAAGATGCTCAGCAATGCTATTCTCTCATCCAGCTTGGTTTTCCAAACTTAGCTTCCAGGGTTTCCAAGACCTAATCCTGTTCTTTTCTCCTCCTCACTGAGACTGGGATCTGGGGGTAGGGAGGAGGGGGACCAGGGACACAAGGCAATCTTGGTCTGAGGCCAGGGGCAAACGACCAGTCATGACCCAGGCCTCTGGGGGCCAACGTCGAGGCTGGCTTGGGGGCAGGGAAACAGGGCTCCAGGTGCCAGGAAGACAGAGCTTGGGCTGTGGGCTCTGGGGGAAGCAGGTGGGGGAAAGATTATGGGCCGATGCGGGAGCCACATCCTGTCCAGCACACGGTACTGCCTCTCTCCCCCAGGGCAGGGTTAGGGGCTTCCCACTCTGGTAGCCCAGACCTCCTATGGCAGCTCCTCCCCTGTTAGGCACGGGGCAAGGGGGACCCTCAGCTCCCAGTCCCCAGATTAGGGCAGGCAGTGGGGTTCACAGCAAGCAGTGACTTGAGGAAATGCCTGCTGCCAATGCCACTTACCCTGTTCCCCTAGGGATCCACCCCCAGGATGCAGATGAGGGAGATGGCCCAGCCCTCAGCTCTCCCAGGGGACACCAGCCTCCCTGCTGAAACACCAATCATCCCCTGCTGGGCTCTTACCTTCTGGGTGCAGGAGGCCGAGTCTCTCTCTGTCCAGGGGACATCTGTGGAGGCCTGCATAGTGGAGGAGTGTGTCAGTGCAGAGGGAGCTGGAGGGCCCCACTTACTTCTGCTTTTTCAGCCTCCTCAGCTTGAGGAAGGAAGGGGGTGTGTAGCATGGGGTCTTGGGTCCCTCCCCACCTTTCACACTTCCCCCTTTGGGAAGGAGAAGGGAAAAGGAGTAGAATCCTGGGACTGTATCTAGCTGTGTGACTTTGGATAAGTCATTAACCTCTCTAGGTCTGTTTTCTCTTCTTATAAAGTGAGAAGGCTGGGGATGATAATCTCTAAGGTCTAAGATCTTCCAGCCCCAACATTCTGTTTCAGGGTCCCTCCCAGCTCTGACAATCTGTGTTCTATGGGTCCTCTCAGCTCTGACATTCTGTGTTCCATGGCTCCTCCCAGCTCTGACATTCCGTGTCCTAAGGGCCCTCCCAGTTCTGGCATTATATGTTCTAAGGTCCCTTATAGTCCTGATATCCTGTGTTCTAAGGGCCCTCCCAGCTCTGACATTCTGTGTCCTAAGGGCCCTCCCAGCTCTGGTATTAGATATTCTAAGGTCCCTTACAGTCCTGACATTCTGTGTTCTAAGGCCTTTCTAGATCTGACATCCTATGATCTTCTGAACATATTCTGTTTCCCAAAGGCCAAGGCTGGGAAAAGGAGAGAGAAATGGCTCCAGTATGTCTGGTCCATGCAACAGGAGAAGAAAGAGTGAACGTTCCCACTTGTAGCCACTTCTCTGTGCCTTAGAAATAGGAGCACAAGGGGGCACCTAGGTGGCGCAGTGGATAGAGCACCGGCCCTGAAGTCAGGAGGACCTGAGTTCAAATCCGACCTCAGACCAAACACTTGACACTTACTCGCTGTGTGACCCTGGGCAAGTCATTTAACCCCAATTGCCTAAAAAAAAAAAAAAAAAATAGGAGCACGGAATAGACTGACTAGTCCAAGGTCATACAAAGCTTTTCAGGAGAGCAAACACCAGAATCCTGCTGTTCTACATGCTTCCCCAAAGCCTAGAGTACTCTCATCATGCACTAGGAAAGCAGTCCCAGTAGAGGCTAGCAGCACCCCAGTCCTGGAAGCAATGAAAAGCACAGCTTCCTATGATACCCTCCCATCATATGGGGGCAGGAGGAAGGAGCCGGGCGGGCATGGTCCATCTGAATCTGGAATGGCCTTGGGAGGTTGCCTATCTAGGCTAATTACCTTATTTTACAGATAAGAGGGTTGGCAGGTTAAGAGTGTCGTCCAAGGTCCCACAACTATTAGGTGTCAGAAGTGGGATTTGAACCTAGGCATTCCTGTCTCTAAATCCAGCCCTCCATCCATCACACTCTGCTGCTTCCTCATGAGGATGACCCAGCCAAACATCAGGTGAGGGTCTGGGCATGGGACATACAACTGGGCCTCGGAGTTCAGCGGCTCTTTCCTCCACAGAAGGATAGCTGGGGGAAAGGGGTAGCTCTGGACCCAAGATCACCTGGCTGGTGAGACCCAGTGAGAAAACCCTCCCAGATACATCAAAAGTATAACTCTGGGGCCCAAGCTTCCAAGAGAGGTGGTATAGTGGCTGCAGGCCCGAGTGGGACTTTTGGCAAGGATCAGTCAATCAACAAGCATTGATTAAGCACCTACTATGTACCAGGTACTGTGCGGGGTGCTGGGAATGCAACAACAAAAACGAACCAATCTCTACTCACTAAGTAAGAAGCCAGGAGAGAGGGAAGAGGAGCTTGGAGGAACTCTGGGCCTTGGAGAAAAGCCTCTGCTTGTCTACCTTACTAGGCCTAAGAGATTCTGAAGGGGAAGAATGAGCCTCCTTACCCCCTCACTCCCATCTAGCTTCAGCCAGCGCTGGGCACCAGAGACACCCACAGGTGACACAGTAAAAAATACAACCAGTCCGAACTCTGACACTTACTAGCTGTGATGCTTAGCAAAAGTTCCCAGTTCCTCCCAAGTGCCTTCCCTCTCAGATTACCCCCCATCTACACTGAATCTCTCTTGTATGTACAGAGTTGTCGAGGTGGTCTCTCTCCTATTATATTAGAAGTAACTTGAGGGCAACAACTGTGTGTTTGCCTTTTCTCCTATTTTCAGTGCTTAGCACACAGTAGGCACTTAAATGTTCATTGATGATGACATCACTTTAAATTTCTCTGAACCTCAGTTTTATCTTCTGTAAAATGGGGATAATATGGCAGTACACTACCTCTCAATTGTGTATCAGTAAGCCAATGAGCATTTATTAGGCTCCTACTGTGTGTCAAGCATTGTGCTGGGGGTGGGGAGGGGGTACCAAGAGAAAAGAATCCCCTGCCCTCAAAGAGCTTACATTCCATCAACAGAAACAACACATACATCTTTACATATACCCGAAAGATATGCAAAGTAAATACAGGCAAGGTAAGGTGAGACATTGTTACAATCAAAGGACTGAGCCAGAAGGGCTCAAGGTCTGGGGTGGAAAGGATCTGGCTGTAGTTCATGCGTAAGTCAGCAACCACTGGCTTTGGGGCTGAATCTTGACAAAGAGACCACGTGCCACATGCCCTGAAAGCCTTCCCTCTCTCTGAGAGGGAGACAGAGAGACAGGGGAGAGAGAGACAGGAGAGAGAGAGAGAGAGAGAGATCCCTGCTGGTCAACAAGTCCAGGTCTAAGGAATTCTGAAAAATGGAGATATATCCACACTCCAAAGCCGCCCCCCCCAACCCAACTCTAATGGGCTTCAGCAGGAGCTGAGGCTAGACAGAGGGATGCCCACAGGTGCCTCCATTCAACCACTGACCAAAGGGAGGAAGGTAGGACCGCGGGAGAAGTACCAACCACTTCAACCTGCTGTCACCAGACCCCCACCCCAATCCTGGGGGAGATAAC